TGCCCATTGGTCAGTGCTGTTCCATTGCCATACTTAATTTCCCTGGCCATTGGTCAGAGTTGTTTGTCTTATGTTTGATATCAGCTTCAGCAGTGTTCTGGTCGGTTACAGGTGGCCGAGTGGACATGTTCAATGTCTCCCAGGAACACTGCAATGCTGGGATCTTTATCAAACATGTTCTTCCAGACAGTCCTGCTGGTCGCAATGGAACCCTAAAGAAAGGGGACCGCATTCTGGAGGTGAGTCTTGTGCAGGATTATCAGTAGAAGAGTGTTACCTAGAACAGGTGTTAGTGCAGCTGAGACTGGCATGGAGTGAAAGAGTGTTACCTAGAACAGGTGTTAGTGTAGCTGAGACTGGCATGAAGTGAAAGAGTGTTACCTAGAACAGGTGTTACCTAGAACAGGTGTTAGTGTAGCTGAGACTGGCATGGAGTGAAAGAGTGTTACCTAGAACAGGTGTTAGTGTAGCTGAGACTGGCATGAAGTGAAAGAGTGTTACCTAGAACAGGTGTTAGTGCAGCTGAGACTGGCATGGAGTGAAAGAGTGTTACCTAGAACAGGTGTTAGTGCAGCTGAGACTGGCATGAAGTGAAAGAGTGTTACCTAGAACAGGTGTTAGTGTAGCTGAGACTGGCATGGAGTGGAAGAGTGTTACCTAGAACAGGTGTTAGTGTAGCTGAGACTGGCATGGAGTGAAAGAGTGTTACCTAGAACAGGTGTTAGTGCAGCTGAGACTGGCATGATGTGAAAGAGTGTTGTTTACAACAGGTGTTAGTGCAGCTGAGACTGGCATGGAGTGGAAGAGTGTTGCTTACAACAGGTGTTAGTGTAGCTGAGACTGGCATGAAGTGAAAGAGTGTTGTTTACAACAGGTGTTAGTGTAGCTGAGACTGGCATGAAGTGAAAGAGTGTTGCTTACAACAGGTGTTAGTGTAGCTGAGACTGGCATGAAGTGAAAGAGTGTTGCTTACAACAGGTGTTAGTGTAGCTGAGACTGGCATGAAGTGAAAGAGTGTTGCTTACAACAGGTGTTAGTGTAGCTGAGACTGGCATGGAGTGGAAGAGTGTTACCTAGAACAGGTGTTAGTGTAGCTGAGACTGGCATGGAGTGGAAGAGTGTTGCTTACAACAGGTGTTAGTGTAGCTGAGACTGGCATGAAGTGAAAGAGTGTTACCTAGAAGAGTGTTGTTTACAACAGGTGTTAGTGTAGCTGAGACTGGCATGGAGTGAAAGAGTGTTACCTAGAACAGGTGTTAGTGCAGCTGAGACTGGCATGGAGTGGAAGAGTGTTGTTTACAACAGGTGTTAGTGTAGCTGAGACTGGCATGAAGTGAAAGAGTGTTACCTAGAACAGGTGTTAGTGTAGCTGAGACTGGCATGGAGTGAAAGAGTGTTGCTTACAACAGGTGTTAGTGTAGCTGAGACTGGCATGAAGTGAAAGAGTGTTGCTTACAACAGGTGTTAGTGTAGCTGAGACTGGCATGAAGTGGAAGAGTGTTACCTAGTGTAGCTGAGACTGGCATGAAGTGGAAGAGTGTTACCTAGAACAGGTGTTAATGCAGCTGGGATCTAGTCGTTAGCACACTCTTCTACCATCTTAGTAGTCCTGTGTTTAGCACCTAGTGTGGCTATGCTGGATTTGTTCTGATAACAACTACAGTAGTTCTACTTTTCCTGGCTCTTTCTGATGATCTCAGGAGATCTAGTTGGATTTATTCTTTTAACAAGAACAGTTATTGCAGTTTTTTCACTATATCTTATGGTTATCTGGTTATTCAGTTGAGTCCCAAGGAACGCATCTTACGTTCATAGGTTCCTACCTAGAAGCCCAATGAACGCCGATTTTATTACTTTCTTGACTACCCCCTGGACCTGTGATGCTAAACCCTCTGGGACTCAGAGAGGTAATACTCACTTTGTTAGCCTCTGACTTGCCAGTTTGGTCATCAAAAATATAAGCTTTACTGATCAAAACCCCTAATAGCTTGTTAATTAATTTACATTGTTCTGCTTTACTGTTATTATTATTTTTGCCATCATATCACTACCATAATCAACATCATCATCATCATCAGTATCATCATTTTATAATTGTCATGGTTATCATTATTGTTGTTATTATTTAAGAGTAATGCTATGTTTCCAACAACACACTATCTGGAAGTGGTAACATCTATCCATCTGTGAGTGTACAATCTAACCATCTGTGAAGTGGTAACATCTAACCATCTATGAAGGGTAGCATCTAACTATCTATGAAGTGGTAATATCTAACCATCTATGAAGTGGTAACATCTAACCATCTATGAAGTGCTAACATCTAACCATCTATGAAGTGCTAACATCTCACCATCTATGAAGTGCTAACATTCTATATTTTTTGTGGCTAGGTAAACGGCATAGATGTGAGCAATGCCACCCATGATGAGGCAGTTGAAGTCATTCGCAACGCGTCCAGTCCAATCTTGTTTGTTGTGCAGAGTCTTTCATTCTCCTCGAGTGTAAGTCAAACTGTGAGTGACTTATTTCTTCAAACTCAAGTGATTACATTTTGTATTTTTTTTTTTTTTGGGTACAAAGAAGAAAACTGGAACATTGTGTGACCACTAAAAAGAACTGTGGAAAAAAGAGACAGAGAAAGGCAACACAAGATTATTCCTGACAGCCTTTCGTCATGGCATGGATGTTTGTCAGCTCACAAACAAGATACATGCAGTTAAAGATTTCAGATTGAGGAGAGGCGTGATTGTTCATGCTCATCGGCAAGACACTTGATGATGATGACTATGACTTGACAGTGACCACATACAAGCCAGCAGCTGTGTTGGTGCAGTGGGTAGCAGTGCACTTGCCTGTCAGCCGAGTGGTCATAGGTTCAAAACCTGTCAAGGCTGCTTTTGAAAAGGTCAGTCTAGTGTCAGACTTTGTGCCAAGAATTATTGGGAAATAAAGGTGGCTGTCATATTTACCACATCATCCATTGAAGGCCAACTTCTTGATAAGTAGCACCATGTGTCCAGTAAATGTAAGGCATATCAAGTGGTTGTTAGATGTACTGTCATATCATTAGATTTGCGCAGTGACCAGTTGCTCTATATTGATTTCAGTCCTGACATGTGGGGAACTGGATGCAGTAGAAATTCAGTGTGTGTGTGTGTGTGTGTTTTTCTTTAACTGAAAAAATATTGAGAATATCATGGACGGAGGAGAAAACAAACTGAGATAGTGACGTGCGTCCAGCTGGTACTGGATTACTTGCCACAGTTGCCAGGACAGAAAAATGAAACTCATAAAGAGGCAAGGTTTCAGTTGGAAAAGTATGCAAATGTAGGAACATACTAGATGAGAAAAGCAGTGGAAGACAAAGATTTTTGTGGCAGAAAATGATAGCAACACATTTCAATAATAGATGGCAAAGAGAATTGGCGATTGCAGACAGCTCCAGGCCAGGCATCAGAAGAAGAAGATGCTGCTGGCCCATTTGTCCTGTTGTGGAGTAATTCCGTTTTGAGTAATTGCTGTGTTTTTTTAGGGTCCATTAGGGAAGCAAAGAATACCATACATGTCATAAGAGACCACTATGTGGGGTTGGTGTGGGACTGGATACTGTATCCTGCAGATATTCAGCCAGTCAAGAACAAGTCTGTATGTGGCTTTGACATGAGCTGATTTAGCGCCTGTGCTCCATCAGGAGCTGAAAGACAGCGGGAGGAGAAGGAAGGTGTGGTGTCCGTGTGACTTGAAATGAATTTGATATAGAAGACACTTGAAGTCATAGTATAACGACATCAATGTATAAAACAAGTTCTCTGACTTGATTACAATTGTCTAACAGTCACTGTGCTTTTGTCATCTGTTGTACATGGACACATTTGATACTGGATTTTGTTTTTATGTTCTACTCTCAACACACCAGCTCCACCCTCAACATACTGACTCCACTCTCAATCTCAACACATCAGCTCCACTCTTAATCTCAACACACCAGCTCCACTCTTAATCTCAACACACCAGCTCCACTCTCAATCTCAACACACCAGCTCCACTCTCAACATGCTGACTCCACTCTCAACACACCAGCTCCACTCTCAACATGCTGACTCCACTCTCAACACACCAGCTCCACTCTCAACATGCTGACTCCACTCTCAACACACCAGCTCCACTCTCAACACACCAGCTCCACTTTCAACATGCTGACTCCACTCTCAACACACCAGCTCCACTCTCAACACACCAGCTCCACTCTCAACATACTGACTCCACTCTCAACACACCAGCTCCACTCTCAACACACCAGCTCCACTCTCAACACACCAGCTCCACTCTCAACACACCAGCTCCACCCTCAACATATTGACTCCACTCTCAACACATCAGCTCCACCTTCAACATACTGACTCCACTCTCAACACACCAGCTCCACTCTCAACACACCAGCTCCACTCTCAACACACCAGCTCCACCCTCAACATACTGACTCCACTCTTAACACATCAGCTCCACCCTCAACATACTGACTCCACTCTCAACACACCAGCTCCACTCTCAACACACCAGCTCCACTCTCAACACACCAGCTCCACCCTCAACATACTGACTCCACTCTCAACACATCAGCTCCACTTTTAATCTCAACACAACAGCTCCACTCTTAATCACAACACATCAGCTCCACTCTTAATCTCAACACATCAGCTCCACTCTTAATCTCAACACAACAGCTCCACTCTTAATCTCAACACACCAGCTCCACTCTCAACACAGCAGCTCCACTCTTAATCTCAACACAACAGCTCCACTCTTAATCACAACACATCAGCTCCACTCTTAATCTCAACACAACAGCTCCACTCTTAATCTCAACACAACAGCTCCACTCTTAATCTCAACACAACAGCTCCACTCTTAATCTCAACACACCAGCTCCACTCTCAACACAGCAGCTCCACTTTTAATCTCATCACACCAGCTCCACTCTTAATCTCAACACATCAGCTCCACTCTTAATCTCAACACATCAGCTCCACTCTTAATCTCAACATGCTGACTCCACTCTCAACACACCAGCTCCACTCTTAATCTCAACACACCAGCTCCACTCTCAATCTCAACACATCAGCTCCACCCTCAACATGCTGACTCACTCTCAATACAATAGCTCCATTCTCAATGCACCAGCTCCACTCCCAACACACCAACTCCATTCTCAGCATGCCAGTTCCACTCTCAATCTCAACACACCAGCTCCACTCTCAACATACCAGCTGCAGAACCCACACAAGGAATTAATGACATCATGTGACATTGACATCATGTTGTGACAGTGTGCCAGGTTTTGTTTTCTCTTCCCTAGCCTGGTGACCTGGAATCCTCCCAGCTGAAACCAACCAAGACACTGGAAGACCCGATCCTCCTCTCCCAGAGCTCCATGGCATCTTCTCTAGGCAGCACACCACAACAGGTGTGTCTTTGTGTTGTGTATTAACATTTTTACCTGCAGGTTGCAGCCGTGGACTGTTGAGAGCAGTTGTGGGACATGACTAGCTCCAGGGTTTGGGCAAGGACATCATTGGACTGTTGTGGGACATGGTTAGCTCCAGGGTTTGGGCAAGGACATCATTGGACTGTTGAGTACAGTTGTGGGACATGGCTAGCTCCAGGGTTTGGGCAAGGACATCATTGGACTGTTGTGGGACATGGTTAGCTCCAGGGTTTGGGCAAGGACATCATTGGACTGTTGTGGGACATGGTTAGCTCCAGGGTTTGGGCAAGGACATCATTGGACTGTTGAGGGCTGTTGTGGGACATGGCTAGCTCCAGGGTTTGGGCAAGGACATCATTGGACTGGTGTGGGACATGGTTAGCTCCAGGGTTTGGGCAAGGACATCATTGGACTGTTGAGGGCTGTTGTGGGACATGGCTAGCTCCAGGGTTTGGGCAAGGACATCATTGGACTGTTGTGGGACATGGTTAGCTCCAGGGTTTGGGCAAGGACATCATTGGACTGTTGAGTACAGTTGTGGGACATGGTTAGCTCCAGGGTTTGGGCAAGGACATCATTGGACTGTTGAGTACAGTTGTGGGACATGGCTAGCTCCAGGGTTTGGGCAAGGACATCATTGGACTGTTGTGGGACATGGTTAGCTCCAGGGTTTGGGCAAGGACATCATTGGACTGTTGTGGGACATGGCTAGCTCCAGGGTTTGGGCAAGGACATCATTGGTCTGTTGAGTACAGTTGTGGGACATGGTTAGCTCCAGGGTTTGGGCAAGGACATCATTGGACTGTTGAGGGCTGTTGTGGGACATGGCTAGCTCCAGGGTTTGGGCAAGGACATCACAGATTGAGCTTCTGGTTTGTTGGGCCCATAAAGTGGGACCAGATAGAAAAGAGTAACACCATATAACAGAAAGAGACACTAGACAAGATAAAGAAATAGGCAAAGTGGGCAGTGTAGACAACAGAAAGAATTGAAAAGAAGAGCACACACTAGACAATAGATAGTAGTAGAGAGAAAATTACACATTAGAGATAAATAAAGAACCTGTGCTGCAGAGATTAGTTCAGTTAATTGGTAGTAAATGATTTTAGAAGCTAAAGTGACATCATTTCTGGTGTGACATGACATAATGTATAAAACTAACATTATATAAGACTAAACAGCATATGACATACCTGTCTTAGACAGAATAACATTTTACATACCTGTATGTAGACAGAATAACATATGACATACCTGTTTGTAGACAGAATAACATATGACATACCTGTCTGTAGACAGAATAAAAAATGACATACATGTCTGTAGACAGAATAACGTATGACATACCTGTCTGTCATCATCATGTAGCAGGTCCTTTGCAGAACGTCGCTCTCATCACAGTCTGCCTGAAAGAAATTCAGTCTCTCGCCAGTTCTCCCGCCTCATGCACTTTCACACTCAAGGAGTCACTTATATCCTGTGCCCATCTTCGTGTCGGTCGGCCTCTGCCCCTCCTTCCTTTTACCATGCCTTCTGCTATAGTTTTTTCCAATCCATCGTGGAGCTTGATATGACCAAAATATTTCAGCTTTTGAGAAAGGATGCTGTTTATTAGCCAATCTTCCTTGATGTTCAGATCTTTTGAGATGTCAATATTTCTTATCTTCTTTGTCCAAGATATTCTTTCTATAGCATTTCAGCTCAAAAGCCCCTATTCTCTTTCTTAAGGACTGAGAGATAGTCCACGACTCACATCCGTATGTAGCCACAGGGAAGATGCATGCTCTCAAAATTATAATTTTTATCTCCTTGCTGGTGCTTAACCATAGACTTTTAAGGCTGTTCAATCTTTGTATTGCTATGACCATCCTCCTTTTAATTTCTGTTGAACAGTCTCCATTGTTGTTTATTATAGAGCCTAGATATTCAAAGTTTGTGACATTTTCAATTTCTTCATCATTTATTGTTATTTTTGGGTGACAGCCAGTTTTTTCTGTGGACATTATTTTCGTTTTCTTTAAATTCACGAGCAGATTTTGATCTTCACTGTGCTTTTGGACAGACAATATTAAATTTTCTATTTGTTTACGCTGTTTCGAAAGGAGGACTGTGTCATCTGCGTAGCGGAGTTCCGTAATACCTGTCTGTAGACAGAATAACATATGACATACTAATCTATTGACAAAATAACATATCATATACCACTCTATAGAAAAATATCTTATAACATACCACTCTGTAGACTAAATAACATACGACCTACTGGTCTGTTGAAAAAATAGCATATCTTCTTCTTCTTCTTCTTCTTCTTCTTCTTTGCGTTTGGTTTTATATACTATACTCAGATCAATCATCAGGTGGGTTGCCTCTATGAACTTGCATGTCAGTAACAGGTTTTTCATGGTTCCCCATAGCTGGCTGTGAACACTTTACTCTTGAGGCCGGGTGTCTTTTCGAAGCTGTAGGTAGAGTGGGCAGGTCTGCAGAATGTGCTCAGGTGTTTGTGGTCCTGCTTGACACGCACACTGGGGGCACTGTACAAACTTTATTTTATGCATGTGGTAGTTGAGCCTGTAGTGTCCTGTTCGTAGACGGAAAATTGTTGTATGTTGCTTTCTGAGGAGTCTGCTGATGGGGTCTTGTGGATGTTTACTGTTAGTTTGTTCTCTCCACTATTTCTTGTATTTTCTATTGATGAGTGTTTTTGATTTCTGTTAGTGACAAAGAATGGGTGGGTTGTTTCTCCCTTGTTCCATTTTTTTTTTTTTTTTGGACAAGTCTGTCTGCTCATTTCCTGGTATGCCGCAGTGAGCCGGGATCCACTGGAGATTGATTTGATTGTTTTCTGTGAGTCTGTTTAGCTGGCGGGTCAGTCCTCTCTCCATGTTGTCTCGTGGATCCCTCTCAGTTGCCTGGAGGATTGATATGAAATCACAAAGGAAAATAATTTTGGCATTTTTAATTTCTCTTCCCTCAAGCACTTTTGTGTCATCAGAAAGCATATGACATACCACTCTATTTACTAAATAACATATGACTTACCAGTCTGTTGACTAAATAACATATAACATACCACTCTGTTTACCAAATAACATATGACATCATTATCATCATGTAGCACATCCTTCGCAGAACATCGCTCTGATCATGGTCTGCCTGAATGAAACTTGTTTTCTTGCGAGCTCTCCCACCTCATGTATTCAAGACGTCACTTATATCCTGTGTCTTATCTTCATGTTGGTTGGCCCTGCCTCTTCTTCCTGGTACCATGCCTTCTGCTATTATTTTTCTCCAATCCGCCATGGCGCTTGATGTGACCAAAATGTTTCAGCTTCCGACACAAGATGCGTATTAACCAATTCTCCTTGATGTTTAAATTCAAAAATAAATTTTGATTTTTTTCAATGTGTTTTTGGACAGGCATTGTTACATTTTCTATTCTCTTTATATTGTTCGAAAGGAGGACTGTGTCATCTGGAATAGGGTTGCCACCACTTATTAGCGGTTCATAACTGTAATAAGTCTGGTCATTTTAAACATTTCTCATTATATATTCTGCATATATATTGAATAGGTATGGTGAGAGAATGCACCCCAGCCTCACCCCCTTCTTGCACCTTGAACCGATCCAATGTTTCACCAGCTGCTCTAATGGCTGCTTGTTGTTCATGATATAAATTTTCAGCTTAATGCACCAAATACTCTGGAAACCCCATACTTCTCATAATACTTCACAATTTATGATGAAAGACACAATCAAATGCCTTGCCATAATCAATGAAACAAGTATGAAGATCTACGTTTCATTCTCTACATTTTTGAAAAATTCTTCTTATATTCAAGACATGATTCCTAGTTGCTCTATACCCTGTCTGAAAGCCACTTGTGCTTCATGTAGCTCATACATATGACATACCACTCTGTAGGCTAAATAACATATGACATACCACTCTGTAGACAAAATAACATATGACATACCACTCTGTAGACAAAATAGCATATGACATAAGAGTCTATGGACAGTTTAAAAATTCTATGTGAAATCACCAGAGTTTTGAGCAGATGGATGCCAGATTGACAGGCGAGTCCTTCAGTGACAGTGAGGATGAAGACGAGTTTGGATATACAAGGAGTAAGTAAACTCTTTCAACTTTCTGTCTGTTTTAATCAGGATAGCCCAGCTATGTGAATAACTCACTCAGGGAGTAGGTGAATGAGCTTGGACATAGGGCAAAGCTCATGCAAACTTTCTGTAGTACCATAATTTCTATGTTATGGAGGCATTGTTATAATAAATATTTCTATATGTTATTGGAAATGTTACAGTTAGGGCTAGTGATTTATTGCTGCCCATAGAATTTAATGACATGCCATGGAATTAACAGTATTGACCTAAATGCCACGGATAAAACAAATTCCGCAGAAGGCGACTGGTCCATTGAATTGTTGGTAGATGGTCCATTGAATTGTTGGTAGATGGTCCATTGAACTGTTGGTAGATATTTGAAATGATTCTCAAACTAATGGCCAGCAACAAGCAATACAATAAAACTTCTGTGATGATAATGATGTGTGTGAGTGTTTGTGATGATAATGATAAACATGATGTGTCTGAATGTTTGTGATCATTATGATGATGATGATGTATGTGAATGTTTGTGACCATGATGGTGATGTATGTGAATGTTTGTGACCATGATGATGTATGTGAATGTTTGTGACCATGATGATGATGATGTATGTGATTGTTTGTGATGATGATGATGTGTGTGAATGTTTGTGACCATGATGATGATGATGTATGTGAATGTTTGTGACCATGATGATGATGATGTATGTGAATGTTTGTGACCATGATGATGATTTTGTGTGTGAATGTTTGTGACCATGATGATGATGACGTATGTAAATGTTTGTGACCATGATGATGTATGTGAGTGTTTGTGACCATGATGATGTTTGTAAATGTTTGTGACCATGATGATGATGATGTATATGAATGTTTGTGACCATGATGATGATGTATGTGAATGTTTGTGACCATGATGGTGATGTATGTGAATATTTGTGACCATGATGATGATGTATGTAAATGTTTCTGACCATGATGGTGATGTATGTGAATGTTTGTGACCATGATGATGATGTATGTGAATGTTTGTGACCATGATGATGATGTATGTAAATGTTTGTGACCATGATGATGATGTATGTAAATGTTTGTGACCATGATGATGATGTATGTGAATGTTTGTGACCGTGATGGTGATGATGTATGTGAATGTTTGTGACCATGATGATGATAATGTATGTGAATGTTTGTGACCATGATGATGATGATGATGATGTATGTGAATGTTTGTGACCATGATGATGTATGTGAATGTTTGTGACCATGATGATGATGATGTATGTGAAAGTTTGTGACCATGATGATGATGTATGTGAATGTTTGTGACCATGATGTATGTGAATGTTTGTGACCATGATGATGATGATGTATGTGAATGTTTGTGACCATGATGATGATGATGTATGTGAATGTTTGTGACCATGATGATGATGATGTATGTGAGTGTTTATGAGGATGATGATGTATGTAAATGTTTGTGACCATGATGATGATGATGTATGTGGATGTTTGTGACCATGATGGTGATGTATGTGAATGTTTGTGACCGTGATGTATGTGAATGTTTGTGACCATGATGATGATGTATGTAAATGTTTGTGACCATGATGATGATGTATATGAATGTTTGTGACCATGATGATGACTATGTATGTAAATGTTTGTGACCATGATGATGATGATGCATGTGAGTGTTTGTGACCATGATGATGACGATGTATGCGATTGTTTGTGACCATGATGATGATGATGATGTATGTGAATGTTTGTGACCATGATGATGATGTATGTAAATGTTTGTGACCATGATGATGATGTATGTGAATGTTTGTGACCATGATGATGACTATGTATGTAAATGTTTGTGACCATGATGATGATGATGCATGTGAGTGTTTGTGACCATGATGATGGTGATGTATGTGAATGTTTGTGACCATGGTGGTGGTTTATGTGAATGTTTGTGACCATGATGATGATGTATGTAAATGTTTGTGACCATGATGATGATGATGTGAATGTACCATGTGATGAATGTGAAATGTTTGTGAATGTTTGTGACCATGATGATGATGATGTTTGTGACCATGATGATGATGATGTATGTGAATGTTTGTGACCATGATGATGATGATGTATGTGAATGTTTGTGACCATGATGATGATGATGCATGTGAATGTTTGTGACCATGATGATGATGCATGTGAGTGTTTGTGACCATGATGATGATGCATGTGAATGTTTGTGACCATGATGATGATGATGTATGTGAATGTTTGTGACCATGATGGTGGTTTATGTGAATGTTTGTGACCATGATGGTGGTTTATGTGAATGTTTGTGACCATGATGATGATGATGTATGTGAATGTTTGTGACCATGATGGTGGTTTATGTGAATGTTTGTGACCATGATGGTGGTTTATGTGAATGTTTGTGACCATGATGGTGGTTTATGTGAATGTTTGTGACCATGATGATGATGATGTATGTGAATGTTTGTGACCATGATGGTGGTTTATGTGAATGTTTGTGACCATGATGATGGTTTATGTGAATGTTTGTGACCATGATGATGATGATGTATGTGAATGTTTGTGACCATGATGGTGGTTTATGTGAATGTTTGTGACCATGATGATGATGATGTATGTGAATGTTTGTGACCATGATGGTGGTTTATGTGAATGTTTGTGACCATGATGATGGTTTATGTGAATGTTTGTGACCATGATGGTGGTTTATGTGAATGTTTGTGACCATGATGGTGGTTTATGTGAATGTTTGTGACCATGATGATGATGATGTATGTTAATGTTTGTGACTATGATGGTGGTTTATGTGAATGTTTGTGACCATGATGATGTTGTGTGTGAATGTTTGTGACTATGATGATGTTGTATGTGAATGTTTGTGACTATGATGATGATGTATGTGAATGTTTGTGACCATGATGATGTTGTATGTGAATGTTTGTGACCATGATGATGATGATGTATGTGAATGTTTGTGACCATGATGATGATGTATGTGAATGTTTGTGACCATGATGATGGTTTATGTGAATGTTTGTGACCATGATGATGATGATGTATGTGAATGTTTGTGACCATGATGATGGTTTATGTGAATGTTTGTGACCATGATGGTGGTTTATGTGAATGTTTGTGACCATGATGATGATGATTATGTGAATGTTTTGTGACCATGATGATGATGATGTATGTGTGAATGTTTGTGACCATGATGGTGGTTTATGTGAATGTTTGTGACCATGATGATGTTGTGTGTGAATGTTTTGGTGACTATGATGATGTTGTGACCATGTGAAATGTTTGTGACTATGATGATGATGATGTATGTGAATGTTTGTGACCATGATGATGATGTATGTGAATGTTTGTGACCATGATGATGATGTATGTGAATGTTTGTGACCATGATGGTGATTTGTGTGAATGTTTGTGACCATGATGGTGATTTGTGTGAATGTTTGTGACCATGATGGTGATTTGTGTGAATGTTTGTGATCATGATGGTGATTTATGTGAATGTTTGTGACCATGATGGTGGTTTATGTGAATGTTTGTGATCATGATGATGTTGTTTGTGAATGTTTGTGACTATGATGATGATGATGTATGTGAATGTTTGTGACCATGGTGGTGGTTTATGTGAATGTTTGTGATCATGGTGATGGTTTATGTGAATCTTTGTGATCATGGTGGTGGTGTATGTGAATGTTTGTGATCATGGTGATGGTTTATGTGAATGTTTGTGATCATGATAATGGTTTATGTGAATGTTTGTGATCATGGTGGTGGTTTATGTGAATGTTTGTGATCATGGTGATGGTTTATGTGAATCTTTGTGATCATGGTGGTGGTGTATGTGAATGTTTGTGATCATGGTGATGGTTTATGTGAATGTTTGTGATCATGGTGATGGTTTATGTGAATGTTTGTGATCATGGTGGTGGTGCATGTGAATGTTTGTGATCATGGTGATGGTTTATGTGAATGTTTGTGATCATGGTGATGGTTTATGTGAATGTTTGTGATCATGGTGATGGTTTATGTGAATGTTTGTGATCATGGTGATGGTTTATGTGAATGTTTATGACCATGGTGGTGGTGTATGTGAATGTTAATGATGATGATTTTTTGTTGCTCCAGGACGAATCCAGAGGAAGTACGCTGACCTTCCTGGGATTGTGCAGCTGGTGGATCTGAGCCGGGGCAGTGCTGGCATGGGGCTGGGACTCGCAGGCAACAAGGACCGCAGCAAGATGAGCGTATTTGTGGCCGGCATCCAGCCAGACAGTCCAGCACAACGAGATGGCAGGATCCAGATCGGAGATGAGCTGCTGGAGGTGGGTTGTGTTTACTTGGCTTTTCTGTTTGAGCTGCAGCAACAATCACTGTTGTGTACCTGGCCTGTGCCTTTGCCAGTGACAATAGTAGTGTTTTTGTATAATTAGAGCCACTAGGTCAAGGTCATCGCAGTTCCAGTTTTATAGCAAACAGGTCACCCTGAAGATGATCTGCTCCCATGCCAGCAAAAACCACACTGAATGTCCATCACTGTTTCTTGGGGAGAATGTCCATCACTGTTTCTTGTAGGGCAGAATGTCCATCACTGTCTCTTGTGGGGGAGAATGTCCATCACTGTCTCTTGTAGGGCAGAATGTCCATCACTGTCTCTTGTGGGGGAGAATGTCCATCACTGTCTCTTGTAGGGCAGAATGTCCATCACTGGCTCTTGTGGGGGATGATCTGCTCCCGTGCCAATGAAAACCATACTGAATGTCCATCACTGTCTCTTGTAGGGCAGAATGTCCATCACTGTCTCTTGTAGGGCAGAATGTCCATCACTGTCTCTTGTGGGGGAGAATGTCCATCACTGTCTCTTGTGGGGGAGAATGTCCATCACTGTCTCTTGTGGGGGAGAATGTCCATCACTGTCTCTTGTGGGGGAGAATGTCCATCACTGTCTCTTGTGGGGAGAATGTCCATCACTGTCTCTTGTGGAGGAGAATGTCCATCACTGTCTCTTGTGGGGGAGAATGTCCATCACTGTCTCTTGTGGGGGAGAATGTCCATCACTGTCTCTTGTGGGGGAGAATGTCCATCACTGGCTCTTGTGGGGGATAATGTCCATCACTGTCTCTTGTGGGGGAGAATGTCCATCACTGTCCCATGTAGGGCAGAATGTCCATCACTGTCCCTTGTAGGGCAGAATGTCCATCACTGTCTCTTGTGGGGGAGAATGTCCATCACTGTCCCTTGTAGGGCAGAATGTCCATCACTGTCCCTTGTAGGGCAGAATGTCCATCACTGTCTCTTGTGGGGGATGATCTCCTGTGCCAGCAAAAACCACACTGAATGTCCATCACTGTTTCTTGGGGAGAATGTCCATCACTGTTTCTTTAGGAGAATGTCCATCACTGTTTCTTACGGAGAATGTCCATCACTGGCTCTTTTAGGGGAGAATGTCCATCACTGTCTCTTGTAGGGCAGAATGTCCATCACTGTCTCTTGTGGGGGAGAATGTCCATCACTGTCTCTTGTGGGGGAGAATGTCCATCACTGTCTCTTGTGGGGGATGATCTGCTCCTGTTCCAATGAAAACCACACTGAATGTCCATCGCTTTCTCTTGTAGGGCAGAATGTCCATCACTGTCTCTTGTGGGGGATGATCTGCTCCTGTTCCAATGAAAACCACACTGAATGTTCATCGCTGTCTCTTGTGGGGGAGAATGTCCATCACTGTCTCTTGTGGGGGAGAATGTCCATCACTGTCTCTTGTGGGGGAGAATGTCCATCACTCTCTTGTAGGGAAGAATGTCCATCGCTGTCTCTTGTGGGGAAGAATGTCCATCACTGTCTCTTGTGGGGAAAAATGACACAGACTCTTAGCAAAGGCAGTATCATACAAACGCATTTAATGCACAAAGAAGCCATTAGGAGTGCCAACACAAACAGTCCGACACTATAAATGCAACCCTTACAACAGATCAGTGGTGGCACACATAATTAATCACATAAGGCACTCACCAGTTTCTAAATCTGCAGGCGGCAATTCAAACCACATTGGGCACAGTTGGAAAGCGTTCTAAGTTAAATCCGCAGCTCATTGTCACGCCATATGCTGAATTCAGTAGCCAGCAACAGAACTATATCTTTTCAGTCTACATGTAGAGGAAAATGCAGCAGCCTACTATTGTTGGAAGCAAAACTTGCCATGACTAAAAACAGTAAGCCTAGCTATTCTCCATATTGACTGGAAGTAGGGCCGCTGTGTTCACTCCGCCAGGAATATTAATCACACTGGCCTGTAACATTTCTTTACGGTGTGGGTGTTCAGTGGTGTGGCCATCAGTGAAGAGAATCCTGTGTTCAGTGGTGTAAACATCGGTGAAGAGAATCCTGTGTTCAGTGGTGTGGACATCAGTGAAGAGAATCCTGTGTTCAGTTGTGTACATCAGTGAAGAGAATCCTGTGTTCAATGGTGTGGACATCAGTAAAGAGAATCCTGTGTTCAGTCGTGTGGACATCAGTGAAGAGAATCCTATGTTCAATGGTGTGGACATCAGTAAAGAGAATCCTATGTTCAGTGGTGTGGACATCAGTGAAGAGAATCCTGTGTTCAGTGGTGTGGACATCAGTGAAGAGAATCCTGTGTTCAGTGGTGTGGACATCAGTGAAGAGAATCCTGTGTTCAATGGTGTGGACATCAGTGAAGAGAATCCTGTGTTCAGTGGTGTGGACATCAGTGAAGAGAATCCTGTGTTCAGTGGTGTGGACATCAGTGAAGAGAATCCTGTGTTCAGTGGTGTGGACATCAGTGAAGAGAATCCTGTGTTCAGTGGTGTGGACATCAGTAAAGAGAATCCTGTGTTCAGTGGTGTGGACATCAGTAAAGAGAATCCTGTGTTCAGTGGTGTGGACATCTGTGAAGAGAATCCTGTGTTCAGTGGTGTGGCCATCAGTGAAGGGAATCCTGTGTTCAGTGGTGTGGCCATCAGTGAAGAGAACCCTGTGTTCAGTGGTGTGGACATCAGTGAAGCGAATCCTGTGTTCAGTGGTGTTTACATCAGTGAAGAGAATCCTGTGTTCAGTGGTGTGGACATCAGTGAAGCGAATCCTGTGTTCAGTGGTGTGGCCATCAGTGAAGAGAATCCTGTGTTCAGTTGGTGTGGACATCAGTGATCATCTTTCTCTAATGCGAATCCTGTGTTCAGTGGTGTTTACATCAGTGAAGAGAATCCTGTGTTCAGTGGTGTGGACATCAGTGAAGCGAATCCTGTGTTCAGTGGTGTGGCCATCAGTGAAGAGAATCCTGTGTTCAGTGGTGTGGCCATCAGTGAAGAGAATCCTGTGTTCAGTGGTGTGGACATCAGTGAAGAGAATCCTGTGTTCAATGGTGTTTACATCAGTGAAGAGAATCCTGTGTTCAGTGGTGTGGACATCAGTGAAGAGAATCCTGTGTTCAATTGTGTGGCCATCAGTGAAGAGAATCCTGTGTTCAGTGGTGTGGACATCAGTGAAGAGAATCCTGTGTTCAATGGTGTGGACATCAGTGAAGAGAACCCTGTGTTCAGTGGTGTTTACATCAGTGAAGAGAATCCTGTGTTCAATGGTGTGGCCATCAGTGAAGAGAATCCTGTGTTCAGTGGTGTGGACATCAGTGAAGAGAATCCTGTGTTCAATGGTGTGGCCATCAGTGAAGAGAATCCTGTGTTCAATGGTGTGGCCATCAGTGAAGAGAATCCTGTGTTCCGTGGTGTGGAATGTGCAGTTTTATACATTGTGCGACATGTGTCATCTGTTGTTAAAATGTTACCAAGTTGGAGATATGTTCATATCTTTCTTTATTGATAGCGTGCTAAATATCATGTTTTTGTGTCGCCAGGTAAATGGCATCAACCTGTTTGGCCTTAGTCACCTGAACGCTTCTGCTGTCATCAAAAGTGTCACCACTCCAGTTGTCAAGCTGGTCACACACAGGTGAGCCAATTTAGTTCTGTCTGTTTAGCTCATTTTCTCTCCCCAATATCATTATATTTTTGTAGTTGTCTGTTTCTCCACCATTCTCTCTCTCATTCATGTCTGTCTATGAGATGGGCATTAGTCATGTTTTACTGTGTCATATGGCACTAGTCATGTCTGCCTGTGTCACGTGGCACTAGTCATGTCTGTCACGTGGCACTAGTCATGTCTGTCATTTGGCACTAGTCATGTCTGTCATTTGGCACTAGTCATGTCTGTCTGTGTCACATGGCACTAGTCATGTCTGTCATTTGGCACTAGTCATGTCTGTCTGTGTCGTGTGACACTAGTCATGTCTGTCTGTCTGCCACATGCCACTACTCATGTCTGTCTGTGCCATGTGGCATGTCTGCCTGTGCCATGTGGCATGTCTGCCTGTGGTACTAGATGAGCCTCTGTGTCGTAATGCCAAGCTAACATCTCTCTTGTTCTGTGCTGCCTCCAACTTTACTGGCTGATGTACTCCAGTTTTCCTGCTCTTAAAGCAGACTCAGAGAATGTAGATTGTCTTTTCCTGATGAAGGTAGCCACTTTTCTGTAATTTTCTTTTAATTTATTTCAGGTGATGCTTCTCACACAGCTTGTATCTGTCCAGGGTGGGCCTCATCATTCTTCTGTTGAACCCCATCTCTGCAGATGATTCATGTCTCACCAATCTGTAGATTACCCATGACTCACATGAGTAAATCACGGCTGGCTCGCTCTCTGTAGCGTTTGAGAACCTTTGTATGCCTCAGGTGACAGATCTTAATCCTATGACATACTGATGTCCCTTGCCTTCTTCATTTAACTTGTGATGATAGTATAACAAGAATGTCCTTTTACTGGAACCCACAGAACAAAAGCAGTAAATGATGTTTTAAAACACTTAGAGAAGAGAATGAGAGACAGAGTTGAATCACATGGGAGGACATGGACTGAGCTGCAGATGATAAGATTGTTTAAGGGTAGTAGTTTCAGGGTCGCTGGGTCCAGTAAGATGGGGTCACTGGGTCCAGTAAGATGGGGTCGCTGGGTCCAGTAAGATGGGGTCGCTGGGTCCAGTAAGAGAGCTAGTCTCAGTAGACCCTGGCAATCATTATTTTTGCAAGTATTGCTAAGAAGAGAGTGAGTTAAACAAAAAAGCTGCTTGGGCCTCAAAGGGTTAACTCAGTTCCATTTTTTGATCTGACAGACGAGCTGACTTCCTGGAACACATGGCTGTGAAACCACTGATCTACGGGGGCACTGCCCAGTTCGATGTGAGTAATCTCGCTTCTATGTTTGTGAGTTTGTATATGTGAGTAGACTGGCTTCTATGTTTTTGAGCAAGTTTGTAGATGTGAGTAGACTGGCTTCTGTGTTTGTGAATGAGTTTGTAGATGTGTGTAGACTGGCTTCTATGTTTGTGAATGAGCTTGTAGATGTGTGTAGACTGGCTTCTATGTTTGTAAATGAGTTTGCAGATGTGTGTAGATTGGCTTCTATGTTTTGAATGAGTTTGCAGATGTGTGTAGACTGGCTTCTATGTTTGTGAATGAGTTTGTAGATGTGTGTAGACTAGCTTCTATGTTTGTGAGCTTGTAGATGTGTGTAGACTGGCTTCTATGTTTGTGAATGAGTTTGTAGATGTGTGTAGACTGGCTTCTATGTTTGAGAATGAGTTTGTAGATATGTGTAGCCTGGCTTCTATGTTTGTAAGTGAGCTTGTAGATATGAGCCAAATGGCTTGTGTGTTTGTGATTATGCTTGTAGATGTGAGCCTACTGGCTTGTGTATTTGTGATTGTGCTTGTAGATGTGACCATACTGGTTTCTGTGATTGTGCTTGTAGATGTGACAATACTGGCTTCTGTGTTTGTGATTGTGCTTGTAGATATGACCACACTGGCTTCTGTGTTTGTGATTGTGCTTGTAGATATGACCATACTGGCATCTGTGTTTGTGATTGTGCTTGTAGATATGACCATACTGGCTTCTATGTTTGTGATTGTGCTTGTAGATATGACCATACTGGCTTCTGTATTTGTGAACTTGTAGATATGACCATACTGGCTTCTGTATTTGTGAACTTGTAGATATGACCATACTGACTTCTGTATTTGTGCTTGTGCTTGCAGATGTGACCATACTGGCTTCTGTATTTGCTAACTTGTAGATGTGAGTGAGAAATTTATATATAAGAGACAGAGAGATATGTGAATAAAACACAGAGAGAGACATTTAAGTCTTAGAGAGAAAGAAATTGATATATTTGTGCAATAGTGTTTGTTTATGAGCTTGAAACAGCTTCTTAGAAATGTGTGGAAGCAATTGGTGAGTGTTAGAAACATAGTGTGTTTGAGTGAGAGAGAGACATTGAAATATGAGAGACAGAAATCGACATTAATTTGTGAGAGACACACAGAAAGAGATTTACTTGTAAGAGCAGAGTCAAATTGATATGTAAGAGACAGACAGTCAGAGAGAGGTTTGAGAAACAGAGAGAGAATTTGATATATATTGATGTGTGAGAGAGGGCGAGAAATTGATATGTAAGAGCGGAGGGAAATGTATATGTAAGAGAAGAGAAAAATGTATATGTTAAAGACACACAGAGAAAAATTGATATGTGAGAGACAGAGAGAAATTGATATGTGAGAGACATTGAGAGATATGGATATCTGAGAGAGGTATTGGTGTGTGTGTGTGTGGAAAGGGGGGGGGGGGGGGGGTGGGGGTGAGAGAGAGAAATTGATATGTTAGAAAGGAATTAAGAATGTGTTGTGTGAGAAAGAAAGAGAAGTAACTGGCTCTGTGGGTGCTTGATTGTGGGCCTGTGGGTTTTTATTTATCTCACATTGATGGTTACTTCAGTCATAGTTTTCCATCCTATGGCAGTGGCTACTGTTTCTCTCATTCCGTGCTGACCACAGCTGGTTCAGTCAGTCCCCAGTTTATTTTCAACAAATCGGCTCAGACTGGCCACTTCTCACTGCTGCTTTTGATTTCCAGTTTTACCCAGACACATACACGGATTCAGTTATTTTGGTTTTCAGCCAAATATAAATCACCTTTTTCATTTGGCCTGAACTTTTGTCTGGCGCCCGAGGAGCACAAAGTAATCAGACTTCCTTAGTTACAGACAACCTCCTTCTTTATTTTTAAAATCTTTAAAAAAAAAATTTTTTTTTTTTTTTTTTTTTATTAATAGGTTTAGATTTCTACTTTTCCTAGCTTCTTGGCTTTTGGCCAAGGATCAGTTTGTGACAGGGGGCAATGTGTGACTAAGTTGTAATTAAGCCTTGTTAGAACCAAATTTGGTCACTAACATTTGTCACACACTCTCAACATTACCATGATTGAGCGTTCTTGCCTGGTGGCCATTGAATGCTTATTGGCATATACAAATGTAGCACTGGCAGCATTTATCTCCAGGCATATGAAGTGTTCTTTACTTTGTTGCTTCTTCTGCTCCTCATCATCATCATCAGTTGACAAGCCAACTGGTGCAGGTGATTGTGTCTCTTTACAGCTGCAGTTCACTCACAGCTGATCTCTGCCCACTCATGCTGATACCTGTCCACTCATGCTGATCTCCTGCCCACTCATGCTGATCTCTGCCCACTCATGCTGATACCTGTCCACTCATGTTGATCTCTGCCCACTCATGCTGATACCTGTCCACTCATGCTGATACCTGCCCACTCTTGCTGATCTTTGCACACTCATACTGATATCTGCCCACTCATGCCGATACCTGTCCACTTATGCTGATACCTGTCCACTCATGTTGATCTCTGCCCACTCATGCTGATACCTGTCCACTCATGCTGATCTCTGCCCACTCATACTGATCTCTGCCCACTCATGCTGATCTCTGCCCACTCATGCTGATCTCTGCCCACTCATGCTGATCTCTGACCACTCATGCTGATCTGTGCCCACTCATGCTGATCTCTGCCCACTCATGCTGATACCTGTCCACTCATGCTGATCTCTGCCCACTCATGCTGATCTCTGCCCACTCATGCTGATCTCTGCCCACTCATGTCTACATGCAGTTTATACCAGTATATGTGAGTATTTATATCTCCCACTGTCATACCAGGCTAGTTCCGGCCCAGCAGTCTCAACAAAAGTATCTGCAGACACCGACACAGCATCTTCCAGTGGTCAGGAGACTTCTATCACATCCCATTCTCCTTCGAATGCTGCTGCTGTTGTTGCTCCTCCTTCACCATCACAGACACTCCCACTAACAGCCGTGGATACCATTCAAGTCATTGTTATTGAAAAGGTATGTCTGTTTATATAACTGCTCAGAAATGGATTTTGTTGTATCAGGAACAGACTATTTATTAATATAACTGTTCAAAAATTGATTTTTCTTGTTGTTATTTCAGGATTATAACACATAACAAACTGATTTTGTATGTTTTTTTTAAGTGGTATTTAGGATACCCTTATCTTTCTGTTACTCCTCCTATTATTATTATTCTCTTTCTTCTTTTCTTCCTCATATTTTTTCCTGTGTCTGCTTTTTCATATTGTCATTTTCCTGCGCTTTTCTTCTTCTTCTCTCCATTTCCTTCACTTCTTGGCTTCTTCTTCTTCTTCTTCTTCTTCTTATTGTTATTATTATTACTCATCATCATAAATATTATTATTACTACTACTGCTATTATTCTTATTATTATTATTATTATTTTCTATTTCTCTTCTTTTTGTCTTCTTTAAGTCAGCCATTCTTCTCCTTTTCACCTTATTCCTTGACTTCATTGAGGATTCATTGCGTGACTAAACAACAACAGTACAGTCACAAGAACAGTAATGAGCAACCAGTGATTGCCTGATGGTCTGCTTGATCCTCTTAAAGCAGTTTCTCAATTGTGTATTTGCAGCAGACATCACAGAGTCTGGGATTTGGCATCCATGAGGACACACATAGTGGCAGACATGGCATCTATGTGAAGAGTATCACTCCTGGAGGTGCTGCAGAGAAGGTGAGCTTTTTGGCTAGAGAGAAGGTGAGCTTGTGGCTAGAGAGAAGGGGAGCTTATGGCTAGAGAGAAGGTGAGCTTATGGCTAGAGAGAATGTGAGCTTTTGGCTAGAGAGAAGGTGAGCTTATGGCTAGAGAGAATGTGAGCTTATGGCTAGAGAGAAGGTGAGCTTGTGGCTAGAAAGAATGTGAGCTTATGGCTAGAGAGAAGGTGAGCTTATGGCTAGAGAGAAGGTGAGCTTTGGGCTAGAGAGAAGGTGAGCTTATGGCTAGAGAGAATGTGAGCTTATGGCTAGAGAGAATGTGAGCTTATGGCTAGAGAGAAGGTGAGCTTATGGCTAGAGAGATGGTGAGCTTATGGCTAGAGAGAATGTGAGCTTTTGGCTAGAGAGAAGGTGAGCTTGTGGCTAGAGATAAGATGAGCTTATGGCTAGAGAGAATATTTGAGTATTTTGGCTAGAGAGAAAGTGAGTTTGTGGAAGTAGAGAAAATAAACTTGTGGCTAGAGAGAAGGTAAACTTGGGGCTAGAGAAAAGATAAGCTTGTGGCTAGAGAGAAGGTGAGCTTTTGGCTAGAGAGAAGGTGAGCTTTTGGCTAGAGAGAAGGTGAGCTTGTGGCTAGAGAGAAGGTAAGCTTGTGGCTAGAGAGAAGATGAGCTTGTGGCTAGAGAGAAGGTAAACTTGAGGCTAGAGAGAAGGTGAGCTTGTGGCTAGAGAGAAGGTGAGCTTTTGGCTAGAGAGAAGGTAAGCTTGTGGCTAGAGAGAAGGTGAGCTTGTGGCTAGAGAGAAGGTAAGCTTGTGGCTAGAGAGAAGGTGAGCTTGTGGCTAGAGAGAAGATGAGCTTATGGCTAAAGAGAAGGTGAGCAAGGGGCTAGAGTAAAGGTAAACGTGTGTCTAGCGAGAAGGTGAGCTTGTGGCTAGAGATAAAGTGAGCTTATGGCTAGAGAGAAGTTGAGCTTGTGGCTAGAGAGAAGGTGAGCTTTTGGCTAGAGAGAAGGTGAGATTGTGGCTAGAGAGAAGGTGAGCTTGTGGCTAGAGGGAATGTGAGATTGTGGCTAGAGAGAAGGTGAGCTTGTGGTTAGAGAGAAGGTAAACTTGAGGCTAGAGGGAAGGTGAGCTTGTGGCTAGAGAGAAGATGAGCACGGGGCTAGCGTAAAGGTAAACGTGTGTCTAGCGAGAAGGTGAGCTTGTGGCTAGAGATAAGGTGAGCTTGTGGCTAGAGATAAGGTGAGCTTGTGGTTAGAGAGAAGGTGAGCTTGTGGCTAGAGAGAAGGTGAGCTTTTGGCTAGAGAGAAGGTGAGATTGTGGCTAGAGAGAAGGTGAGCTTGTGGCTAGAGGGAATGTGAGATTGTGGCTAGAGAGAAGGTAAACTTGAGGCTAGAGAGAAGGTAAGCTTGTGGTTAGAGAGAAGGTAAACTTGAGGCTAGAGGGAAGGTGAGCTTGTGGCTAGAGAGAAGATGAGCACGGGGCTAGCGTAAAGGTAAACGTGTGTCTAGCGAGAAGGTGAGCTTGTGGCTAGAGATAAGGTGAGCTTGTGGCTAGAGATAAGGTGAGCTTGTGGTTAGAGAGAAGGTGAGCTTGTGGCTAGAGAGAAGGTGAGCTTTTGGCTAGAGAGAAGGTGAGATTGTGGCTAGAGAGAAGGTGAGCTTGTGGCTAGAGGGAATGTGAGATTGTGGCTAGAGAGAAGGTAAACTTGAGGCTAGAGAGAAGGTAAACTTGAGGCTAGAGGGAAGGTGAGCTTGTGGCTAGAGAGAAGATGAGCACGGGGCTAGCGTAAAGGTAAACGTGTGTCTAGCGAGAAGGTGAGCTTGTGGCTAGAGATAAGGTGAGCTTGTGGCTAGAGATAAGGTGAGCTTGTGGTTAGAGAGAAGGTGAGCTTGTGGCTAGAGAGAAGGTGAACTTGAGGTTAAAGAGAAGGTGAGCTTTTGGCTAGAGAGAGGTGAGCTTGGGGCTAGAGAGAATGTGAGCTGTATCTAGAGGGAAGGTAAGCTGTTGCTAGAGAGAATGTGAAATTGTGGCTAGAGAGAAGGTGAGCTTGTGGCTAGAGAGAAGGTGAGCTTGTGGCTAGAGAGAAGGTGAGCTTGTGGCTAGAGAGAAAGTGTGCTTGTGGCTAGAGAGAAGGTAAACTTGAGGCTAGAGAGAAAGTGAACTTGTGGCTAGAGAGAAGTTAGCTTGTGGCTAGAGAGAAGTTAGCTTGTGGCTAGAGAGAAGTTAGCTTGTGGCTAGAGAGAAGTTAGCTTATGGCTAGAGAGAAGATGAGCTTGTGGTTAGAGAGAAGTTAGCTTGTGGCTAGAGAGAAGTTAGCTTGTGGCTAGAGAGAAGTTAGTTAGCTTGTGGCTAGAGAGAAAGTGTGCTTGTGGCTAGAAAGAAAGCCATTTATGACATAAGAACTAATCAGAATACAACTTGTCTCATCGGTTTGTATAATAAAAACTTGACTACTTAAGCCATGTTAAATATCACAGGGGTTTAAAAAGAACATGAGAAAAAGGAATTGTTCCTGGAAGAAAAAGCAGGTTTTTCAAGATGGTAGACTAAAGACAATATGGATTTGCAACAATGTAAGGCAGGGGAGCTGGTGAAGAATTTACAGGCCATGACAAAAGTTGCCAAGAATGATTTCTTGCTGTCTTCCATTACCCCCCTCCCATCCATATATCTGTCTAGTTGTTACAACATATTCCATTCCTCTTCACTCATCCCAAATAAAGTGATCAGCAGTTTTTTCTTACACTAATCACCCTAGTTTGTTTTTATTTTCTTCTTTTATTCTTCAAATCAACTCAACCGTATCCTCATCATCATCATCATGTGGTCATGTCATCACACATCACTTAGAGCCACCTCACAGTCTAGTCCATCATCATCATGTGGTCATGTCATCACACATCACTTAGAGCCACCTCGCAGTCTAGTTCATCATCATAATGTGGTCATGTCATCACACATCACTTAGAGCCACCTCGCAGTCTAGTCCATCATCATCATGTGGTCATGTCATCACACATCGCTTAGAGCCACCTCGCAGTCTAGTCCTCCAAATGTGCCTGTCAGCAATGACAGTGTTTTCCATGTCTGTCAGCAATGACAGTTTTTTCCATGTCTGTCAGCAATGACAGTGTTTTCCATGCCTGTCAGCAATGACAGTGTTTTCCATGTCTGTCAGCAATGACAGTGTTTTCCATGTCTGTCAGCAATAACAGTGTTTTCCATGTCTGTCAGCAATGACAGTGTTTTCCATGTCTGTCAGCAATGACAGTGTTTTCCATGTCTGTCAGCAATGACAGTGTTTTCCATGTTTGTCAGCAATGACAGTGTTTTCCATGTCTGTCAGCAATGAAAATGTTTTCCATGTCTGTCAGTGATGACAATGTTTTCCATGTCTGTCAGTGATGACAATGTTTTCCATGTCTGTCAGTGATGACAATGTTTTCCATGTCTGTCAGTGATGACAATGTTTTCCATGTCTGTCAGAGTGATGACAATGTTGTCCATGTCTGTCAGCAGCGACAATGATTTCCATGTCTGTCAGCAGTGACAATGTTTTCCATGTCTGTCAGCAGTGACAGTGTTTTCCATGTCTGTGTCTGCAGGACCAGCAGCTGGAGGTGGGAGATGAACTCTTGGAGGCTGGGGACATCTCTCTGGCTGGACTCCACTATGACAAGGTCATTCATTCATGTCTGTGTGAACATTGTTTCTTGTGGAACTGTTGTCTGCTCTCTGCAGTTGATGGTGACATCTGTCACTAACATTAAAAATAGTAGAAGTAACTTCTGGGATAAAAATAAGTAATGTCTGAAACAGCAGTAGTTCTAGAACTGAAGCAGTTTAAACAGAAATGTACATAGACTGGAGCAACAAAAGTAGACATGTTCTGTGACTTGAGCAGTAAAAGTAGAAATAATATGTGACTTGATCAGTGAACGTAGAAATGTTCTGTGACTTCAGCAGTGAAAGTAGAAATGTACATAGACTGGAGCAACAAAAGTAGACATGTTCTGTGACTTGAGCAGTAAAAGTAAAAATGTTATGTGACTTGATCAGTGAACGTAGAAATGTTCTGTGACTTGAGCAGTGAAAGTAGAAATGTTCTGTGACTTGAGCAATGAAAGTAGAAATATTCTAGGACTAAAGTAATGAAAGTAGAAATATTCTAGGACTAAAGCAGTGAAAGTAGAAATGTTATGTGACTTGAGCAATGAAAGAAGAAATGTTCTGTGACTTGAGCAGTGAAAGTAGAAATGTTATGTGACTTGAGCAATGAAAGTAGAAATGTTATGTGACTTGAGCAATGAAAGTAGAAATGTTCTGTGACCTGAGCAATGAAAGTAGAAATGTTATGTGACTTGAGCAATGAAAGTAGAAATGTTCTGTGACTTGAGCAATGAAAGAAGAAATGTTATGTGACTTGAGCAATGAAAGTAGAAATGTTATGTGACTTGAGCAATGAAAGTAGAAATGTTATGTGACTTGAGCAATGAAAGTAGAAATGTTATGTGACTTGAGCAATGAAAGAAGAAATGTTATGTGACTTGAGCAATGAAAGTAGAAATGTTATGTGACTTGAGCAATGAAAGTAGAAATGTTATGTGACTTGAGCAATGAAAGTAGAAATGTTCTGTGACTTGAGCAATGAAAGAAGAAATGTTCTGTGACTTGAGCAATGAAAGTAGAAATGTTATGTGACTTGAGCAATGAAAGTAGAAATGTTATGTGACTTGAGCAATGAAAGTAGAAATGTTATGTGACTTGAGCAATGAAAGTAGAAATGTTATGTGACTTAAGCATTGAAAGTAAAATGTTCTGTAACTGAAGCAGTGAAAGTATAAATGTTCTTGGACTGAAGCAGTGAAAGTATAAATGTTCAAGGACTGAAGCAGTGAAAGTAGAAATGTTCTGTGACAAGCATTGAAAGTAAAATGTTCTGTAACTGAAGCAGTGAAAGAATAAATGTTCAAGGACTGAAGCAGTGAACGTATAAATGTTCTAGGACTGAAGCAGTGAACGTATAAATGTTCTTGGACTGAAGCAGTGAAAGAATAAATGTTCTAGGACTGAAGCAGTGAACGTATAAATGTTCAAGGACTGAAGCAGTGAAAGAATAAATGTTCAAGGACTGAAGCAGTGAAAGTATAAATGTTCTAGGACTGAAGCAGTGAAAGTATAAATGTTCTAGGACTGAAGCAGTGAAAGTATAAATGTTCTAGGACTGAAGCAGTGAAAGTATAAATGTTCTAGGACTGAAGCAGTGAAAGAATAAATGTTCAAGGACTGAAGCAGTGAAAGTATAAATGTTCTAGGACTGAAGCAGTGAAAGTATAAATGTTCAAGGACTGAAGCAGTGAAAGTATAAATGTTCTAGGACTGAAGCAGTGAAAGTATAAATGTTCTAGGACTGAAGCAGTGAAAGTATAAATGTTCAAGGACTGAAGCAGTGAAAGAATAAATGTTCAAGGACTGAAGCAGTTAAAGTATAAATGTTCAAGGACTGAAGCAGTTAAAGTATAAATGTTCAAGGACTGAAGCAGTGAAAGTATAAATGTTCTAGGACTGAAGCAGTGAACGTATAAATGTTCAAGGACTGAAGCAGTTAAAGTATAAATGTTCAAGGACTGAAGCAGTGAAAGTATAAATGTTCTGTAACTGAAGCAGTGAAAGTATAAATGTTCAAGGACTGAAGCAGTGAAAGTATAAATGTTCAAGGACTGAAGCAGTGAAAGTAATAGCTGTTTGAGATCAATAATTAAATAAGCCCCTGCCTTGATACAGAAGCACACCCACAGATTTCATTGACAACATCAGTCATTTCACACATGATGACATCATTCTGCACAGGCAATAGATATTCTGCGGGCAGCACAAGGTTCTGTACGTCTGAAGGTTCGGAAGGTCAACCAGACAAACAGTCTCATCGCTAGCAGCACTGGCAGCACCGACTTGAAGTTGCAGTTACTGGACATGCCAGGTTTTTTTCATTTTTCAATTTATTTATTTGTTTCAAATGGTTTGATTGTCGCAGTCAGCAGCATTGTCAATTGTTACATGTCAGCTGGGCTGCAGCAGGAACTACAACTCTGGGTATGTGTTTTTACATCAGAGTCAGGGGCCCTCTACTCTGAGTTGTATGTGATTGTACAGCCAGGGGCTGTATTCTTTATTGCATGTGACTGTACAGAGTCAGGGATTCTCTACTCTATTGTATGTGACTGTACAGAGTCAGGGTTATGTACTCTATTGTATGTGATTGTACATAGTCAGTGGTTATCTACTCTATTGTATGTGATTGTACAGAGTCAGGGATTCTCTACTCTATTGTATGTGACTGTACATAGTCAGTGGTTATCTACTCTATTGTATGTGATTGTACAGAGTCAGGGTTATGTACTCTATTGTATGTGACTGTACAGAGTCAGGGGTTCTCTACTCTATTGTATGTGACTGTACAGAGTCAGGGGTTGTATACTCTGTTGTATGTGACTGTACAGAGTCAGGGGTTCTCTACTCTGTTGTATGTGATTGTACAGTCAGGGGTTCTCTACTCTGTTGTTTGTGATTGTACAGTCAGTGGTTCTCTACTCTATTGTATGTGATTGTACAGAGTCAGGGGTTCTGTACTCTGTTGTTTGTGATTGTACAGTCAGGGGTTCTCTACTCGGTTGTATGCGATTGTACAGAGATAGGGGTTCTCTACTCTATTGTATGTGATTTTACAGTCAGGGCTCTCTACTCTATTGTATGTGATTGTACAGAGTCAGGGGTTCTCTATTGTATGTGATTGTACAGAGTCAGGGGTTCTCTTGTCTGTGTTGTATGTGATTGTACAGAGTCAGGGTTTCTCTACTCTATTGTATGTGATTGTACAGAGTCAGGGATTCTCTACTCTGTGCTGTATGTGATTGTACAGAGTCAAGTGTTCTCTACTCTATTGTATGTGATTGTACACAGTCGGGGGTTCTCTACTCTATTGTCTGTGATTGTGCAGATTCTGGGGTTCTTTACTCTGTTGTATGTGATTGTACAGAGTTAGGGGTTTTCTACTCTGTTGTATGTGATTGTACAGAGTTAGGGGTTCTCTACTTTGACAGTGTAGCTTTGACTTGACCATGGTGTCTTTGACATGTAGCTCTGACTTGACCATGGTGTCTTTGACAGTGTAGCTTTGACTTGACCATGGTGTCTTTGACATGTAGCTCAGACTTGACCATGGTGTTTTTGACAGTGTAGCTCAGACTTGACCATGGTGTCTTTTACAGTGTAGCTTTGACTTGACCATGGTGTCTTTGACATGTAGCTCTGACTTGACCATGGTGTCTTTGACATGTAGCTCTGACTTGACCATGGTGTCTTTGACATGTAGCTCTGACTTGACCATGGTGTCTTTGACATGTAGCTCTGACTTGACCATGGTGTCTTTGACATGTAGCTCTGACTTGACCATGGTGTCTTTGACATGTAGCTCAGACTTGACCATGGTGTCTTTGACATGTAGCTCTGACTTGACCATGGTGTCTTTGACATGTAGCTCTGACTTGACCATGGTGTCTTTGACATGTAGCTCTGACTTGACCATGGTGTCTTTGACATGTAGCTCTGACTTGACCATGGTGTCTTTGACAGTGTATCTCAGACTTGACCATGGTGTCTTTGACATGTAGCTCTGACTTGACCATGGTGTCTTTGACATGTAGCTCTGACTTGACCATGGTGTCTTTGACATGTAGCTCTGACTTGACCATGGTGTCTTTGACAGTGTAGCTCAGACTTGACCATGGTGTCTTTGACATGTAGCTCTGACTTGACCATGGTGTCTTTGACAGTGTAGCTCTGACTTGACCATGGTGTCTTTGACAGTGTAGCTCTGACTTGACCATGGTGTCTTTGACAGTGTAGCTCAGACTTGACCATGGTGTCTTTGACATGTAGCTCTGACTTGACCATGAGGTTTTTGACAGTGTAGCTCTGACTTGACCATGAAAAAATATCAAAGACAAATGAGAAGTAGAACCACTCAGCTTTGCATTATCACATACAGAAAGTGAACATTTCAGCAACAAAACCTTCATCAGGGCATGCCATGACCTGTGACTCAGTTTAGCACTCTCTCTTGATAAGAGTAGTCTTGGGTCCAGCTCTAGATTTGGGAAGCTTTGTTGTTTTCTAGTGTGTTGGGGAAACTTGGAGGTCATCACTGAAGCTACAAGTTTTCATTCTATTTACCATGTTCTCAAGGGGCAGAAAATCACTGTATGTAGAGTCAGTCAGATCAGATTATATTAGGGTAAATCTGCTTGCCACTTAACACTGTTTGGCTATCCAAGAATAGAAGGGTCATGTTATAGACATCAGTGTTTCTGTTGTAGATGTTTGGCTATCCAAGAATAGAAGGATCATGTTATAGACATCAGTGTTTCTGTTGTAGATGTTTGGCTATCCAAGAATAGAAGGATCATGTTATAGACATCAGTGTTTCTGTTGTAGATGTTTGGCTATCCAAGAATAGAAGGATCATGTTATAGACATCAGTGTTTCTGTTGTAGATGTTTGGCTATCCAAGAATAGAAGGATCATGTTATAGACATCAGTGTTTCTGTTGTAGATGTTTGGCTATCCAAGAATAGAAGGATCATGTTATAGACATCAGTGTTTCTGTTGTAGATGTTTGGCTATCCAAGAATAGAAGGATCATGTTATAGACATCAGTGTTTCTGTTGTAGATGTTTGGCTATCCAAGAATAGAAGGATCATGTTATAGACATCAGTGTTTCTGTTGTAGATGTTTGGCTATCCAAGAATAGAAGGATCATGTTATAGACATCAGTGTTTCTGTTGTAGATGTTTGGCTATCCAAGAATAGAAGGATCATGTTATAGACATCAGTGTTTCTGTTGTAGATGTTTGGCTATCCAAGAATAGAAGGGTCATGTTATAGACATCAGTGTTTCTGTTGTAGATGTTTGGCTATTCAAGAATAGAAGGATCATGTTATAGACATCAGTGTTTCTGTTGTAGATGTTTGGCTATCCAAGAATAGAAGGATCATGTTATAGACATCAGTGTTTCTGTTGTAGATGTTTGGCTCCAATATCCAGTCATGAAACAAGTGTATAGAAGACTATTTATCTCGGCAGAGAAACTTATTTGAGATGTTTATACTGTAGGTATTTCTAGTAACAATGTTTCTGTGATAGATATTGTTGTTATAGATATTTATATGAGATGTTTATACTGTAGGTATTTCTAGTAAAAATGTTTCTGTGATAGATATTGTTATAGATATTTATACTGTACACAATTATATTTACAGGAGAATCGACCACAGATCCAGCAGAGTGGCCAGAGGAGTCCGGAGACCCGGCCACCTGCCCTATTGTTGTAGGCAAACGCACCTACATTGAAATTGAGAAGGGCAAGACGGGTCTGGGATTGAGTATTGTTGGTGGTTCTGATACGCTGTTGGTGAGTTTCTGTGATGGTCTGTCATACAGCATGTATGTGTCTGTCGTTTAGTCTGCAGTGAAGTATTTATGTTTCCTCTCTCATCACATATGTCTGTTCCTCCACTGCTCATGTATGGGTTGGTGTTTTAATGTATTTGTCGGTTTCTCTCTCTCTCTCTTTCGCTCTCTTTCTCTCTCTTTTTCTCTCTCTCTCTTTCTCTCTCTCTCTCTCTCTCTCTCTTTCTCTCTCTCTCTCTTTTTCTCTCTATCTCTCTCACTTCATATGTGTGTCTATAAGTTGTCTTCCTTCCTCTATTCCCCTCTCTTCATTATATGTATATGTCTATATTCCTCTCTCTTCATTATATGTATATTCTATATTCCACTCTCTTCATTATATGTATATGTCTATATTCCACTCTCTTCATTATATGTATATGTCTATATTCCCCTCTCTTGCCCTATACCTCAGTGCCTCTGTCCATTATGTGTTGATTAGGTGATATAGAAAGAGTCCAGTACAGAGAAAAGAAATCATAAATAGTACTGTTCAATAGGACAAAGTGTACCTTCCAAGTATAGACAGCTCGGCAACATTTGCACTTTAAAAAATAAAAACACGTAATGGAGATGCATCTCAATTACTGCCATTTTTCCTTGTCTTGTTATTTCAGAGTACTGACATTTTCCCCTGTCCCATTATCTCAGTGCTGACATTTCCCCTGTCCCATTATCTCAGTGCTGACATTTTCCCCTGTCCCATTATCTCAGTGCTGACATTTTCCCCTGTCCCATGATCTCAGTGCTGATATTTTCCCCTGTCCCATTATCTCAGTGCTGACATTTTCCCCTGTCCCATTATCTCAGTGCTGATATTTTCCCCTGTCCCATTATCTCAGTGCTGACATTTCCCCCGTCCCATTATCTCAATGCTGATATTTTCCCCTGTCCCATTATCTCAGTGCTGACATTTCCCCTGTCCCATTATCTCAGTGCTGACATTTTCCCCTGTCCCATTATCTCAGTGCTGACATTTTCCCCTGTCCCATTATCTCAGTGCTGACATTTGTCCCTGTCCCATTATCTCAGTGCTGACATTTGTCCCTGTCCCATTATCTCAGTGCTGACATTTGTCCCTGTCCCATTATCTCAGTGCTGACATTTCCCCCTGTCCCATTATCTCAGTGCTGACATTTTCCCCTGTTCCATTATCTCAGTGCTGACATTTGTCCCTGTCCCATTATCTCAGTGCTGACATTTGTCCCTGTCCCATTATCTCAGTGCTGACATTTTTCCCTGTCCCATTATCTCAGTGCTGAAATTTGTCCTTGTCCCATTATCTCAGTGCTGACATTTGTCCCTGTCCCATTATCTCAGTGCTGACATTTGTCCCTGTCCCATTATCTCAGTGCTGACATTTGTCCCTGTCCCATTATCTCAGTGCTGACATTTGTCCCTGTCCCATTATCTCAGTGCTGACATTTGTCCCTGTCCAATATTCCAGGGTGCTATCATTATCCATGAAGTGTATGAAGATGGAGCAGCAGCCAGAGATGGCAGACTGTGGGCTGGGGATCAGATACTAGAGGTAAGTATGACTACCTGTACATGCAAGGTGTAGACTGTGGGCTGGGGATCAGATACTAGAGGTAAGTCTGACTACCTGTACATGCAAGGTGTAGACTGTAGGCTGGGGATCAGATACTAGAGGTAAGTCTGACCACCTGTACATGCAAGGTGTGGACTGTGGGCTGGGGATCAGATACTAGAGGTAAGTCTGACTACATGTACATGCAAGGTGTGGACTGTGGGCTGGGGATCAGATACTAGAGGTAAGTCTGACCACCTGTACATGCAAGGTGTTGACTGTGGGCTGGGGATCAGATACTAGAGGTAAGTCTGACTACCTGTACATGCAAGGTGTAGACTGTGGGCTGGGGATCAGATACTAGAGGTAAGTCTGACTACCTGTACATGCAAGGTGTAGACTGTGGGCTGGGAGTCAGATACTAGTGGTAAGTCTGACTACCTGTACATGCAAGGTGTAGACTGTGGGCTGAGGATCAGAAACTAGAGGTAAGTCTGACTACATGTACAGGCAAGGTGTGGATTCTACTCAGTCTCATGATACTTGGCACACTACACACACACACACAACACATGATATTTGGCACACAACACACACACACAACACATGATATTTGGCACACAACACACACACACAACACATGATATTTGGCACACAACACACACACACAACACATGATATTTGGCACACAACACACACACACAACACATGATACTTGGCACACAACACACACACAACACATGATATTTGGCACACAACACACACACACACAACACAGGATATTTGGCACACAACACACACACACAACACATGATATTTGGCACACAACACACACACACACACACACAACACATGATATTTGGCACACAACACACACACAAACACATGATATTTGGCACACAACACACACACACACAACACATGATATTTGGCACACAACACACACACACACACACAACACATGATATTTGGCACACAACACATGATATTTGGCACACAACACACACACACACACACAACACATGATATTTGGCACACAACACACACACACACACATAGTATGCCCAGCTGCTGACTGTAGTTGTAAATGTGAGATGGAGAGACAAAGATTATCACATGCAGACAGAGGCTTTGAGTATCCTGATTACATTTGGGAGGCATTGTTTGTTTTCACATGTCATGTTGAATTCAGAATCCACATCACAGCACTCGGGACACTCCTAGAAGTGCTCCATCCCCATCTTCAGCAGCAAGCCAAGAGTTAAAATTCTGATGGTATCAGTAACAGTTTGATTGTATATCCGGCTCGCCCCTCCCCCCCCCCCTCCCCCTCCCCTCCTCGAGTGTCGAGCGTCGGCCAGATCCCCTTGTAACTCCTCGCAGTGCCATTCTCCTCAGACCATAATGTTCTATCTGTTCTTCGGCACTGTTCACTCGCTCCCAAAGGGCCCTCACAACATCCAGCTTGTCATATATCAGTTCACCACCAAGTGGTGCACAACCGTTCAGTCTATCCGCCTGCTCATTTCCCAACACACCCGGATTCACCTGAAGAAAATATCCAAAGGATGTTAACTACCCGGGACCTCTGAAGTGATGCTTGCCACTCTGCATGGAGCATGCCTGTCTTCACCTTTCTCAACATGCTCTGTGAGTCAGTTACAATGACGACATGTGTGTACAGCTGATTCTCAAGCCAACGGAAGGCAGCAGTGACCGCCTCCACCTCCATTCTCAAACTAGACATTGTGATATCATATGCAAGGCTTTGTTGCTCTTCGAAGACATGTCACATTTTGGGCCTCTGGTATCAAGTACAAATATCTTGATAATCTGTCTTGTTTCTGCATGAAGTGAAACTATAAATGGCAAAAGACAATGAGATCCTTGAAATATGAATCATCAGTTCTGGAAATTGCTGACTTAGTTGGTCAGTCCTCTTGTTGCCATGGCTTTCCCAGGTTAAGCTGGTTGCACTAAAGGGTTAGTTTCTTTTCCTTTGGTTTATAAGAGCATCGTTTCAGAGAACCATAAGAGTTATCACTGCTGTTATTGAGCTTTGTGCTTCTTTTGGTGAAGTTTGTTATTCTCTTTCTCGGATTGAATCTGACTCCGCAGGTGAATGGGGAAGACCTGACAGATGCCACACACAACCGCGCCCTCCAAGTTCTCCGACAGACTCCGGCGGTGGTAAAGATGGCTGTCTACAGAGACGAGAGCCAGGTTCATGAGGAAGACATTCTGGATGTGTTCACTGTGGAACTGGTGAAGAGACCTGGAAAAGGACTTGGACTCAGCATTGTGGGCAAGAAGAGCGATGTTGGCATTTATATCTCAGACATTGTGAGTGTCTTACCGTCTATGTCAGTGTCTATTTATATCTCAGACATTGTGAGTGTCTTACCGACTATATCAGTGTCTGTATTTATATCTCAGACATTGTCAGTGTCTTACCGTCTATGTCAGTGTCTGTATTTATATCTCAGACATTGTGAGTGTCTTACCGTCTATGTCAGTGTCTATTTATATCTCAGACATTGTGAGTGTCTTACCGTCTATGTCAGTGTCTATTTATATCTCAGACATTGTGAGTGTCTTACCGTCTATGTCAGTGTCTGTATTTATATCTCAGACATTGTGAGTGTCTTACCGTCTATGTCAATGTCTGTATTTATATCTCAGACATTGTGAGTGTCTTACCGTCTATGTCAGTGTCTATTTATATCTCAGACATTGTGAGTGTCTTACCGTCTATGTCAGTGTGTGTGTTTATATCTCAGACATTGTGAGTGTCTTACCGTCTATGTCAGTGTGTGTGTGTTTATATCTCAGACATTGTGAGTGTCTTACCGTCTATGTCAATGTCTGTATTTATATCTCAGACATTGTGAGTGTCTTACCGTCTATGTCAGTGTGTGTATTTGTTAAATGTATGTTGATTGTGTTATGTTTGTGTTAGTGTGTGATGTGTTTAAGGCATGTTTAATGTGTCGCCAGCTATGTCTGTACATGTGTGTAATAATAAAGGTGTGTTGAATGTGTCACCATTGTTATGTGTGTGTATGTATTAAAGGCATATTTTGAGGAGGGCAAACATAGTGATAACTTGCTGACTTGATTGGACAAAAACAATAGGAAGACTAAATGATGAATACTGAAATTGTTTTGGTCAGTCTTCTACCATAAATGTGACCAAACCTGATCCATGACTCCAATGATTATGGTAAATGGACACCAAAAATAATCAGTCAGTGTATCACTTGGATGTCAAGAAACCACATAATAAGATGATGTTTTGACCCAGCAATGCTGGGTTTCCCTCTGTTGACTAAGTCAAACTTGGATGGTTGGAAGACCCAGGTGGAACTCTGTCTCCAATGCAGGGGTTCAGATATTCACAGAGCTTCACAGTTTTATGCTTGGAGTGACGCTATCGGCATTCCAACAGTCATGCTGCAGCCAGCTAGATATGGCATCAAACTTGGGGCAGTCAAGATCTCCATTAGTTGCAACATCATCTTACCTGCGACTGTTTCAAAGTCTTAAGCTTTTATCAGAAAGCTAACAATTATTTGAATTTGAATTTTTAATTTGTTGTTATTTCATTGATATTCCTTGTCTACAGGTGAAAGGTGGAGTGGCGGAGGCTGATGGGCGTCTTATGCAAGGGGATCAAATCCTGGCTGTGAATGGAGAAGATATGAGAACTGCCACACAGGAATATGCTGCCGCTGTTCTCAAGGTTGACACCCTGACTGTCTTCTTGCCATCATCATCATCATCATTTAGCAGACACTGCTTCAATCACAGCCCACTAATTTCCTTTGCCTTAAACTTTCATGTCCAAGGATTTCAGTGTCTTTGTCAGTTTACCCTGCCTCCAAACATTACAGTCTTGACACTCCAACATTGACAACCATGCAACAAAACAAATTTAGTCAAACATTTCAGTCACTCCAACATTGACAACCATGCAACAAAACAGATTTAGTCCAACATTTCAGTCTTGACACTCCAACATTGACAACCATGCAACAAAACAAATTTAGTTAAACATTTCAGTCTTGACACTCCAACATTGACAATAATAAAGCATTGACAACCATGCAATAGAACAGATTTAGTCAAACATTTCAGTCTTGACACTCCAACATTGACAACCATGCAACAAAACAAATTTAGTCAAACATTTCAGTCACTCCAACATTGACAACCATGCAACAAAACAAATTTAGTCAAACATTTCAGACACTCCAACATTGACAATAATAAAGCATTGACAACCATGCAACAATACAGATTTAGTCAAACATTTCAGTCTTGACACTCCAACATTGACAATAATAAAGCCTTGACAACCATGCAACAAAACAAATTTAGTCAAACATTTCAGCATGACAGCAACAAAACAGATTTAGTCAAACATTTCAGCCAACATTGACAACTAGCAACAAAACAAATTTAGTCAAACATTTCAGCCAACATTTGCAACAAAACAAATTTAGTCAACATTTCAGCCAACAGTTGCAACAAAACAAATTTAGTCAAACATTTCAGCCAACATTGACAATAATAAAGCATTGACAACCATGCAACAAAACAAATTTAGTCAAACATTTCAGACACTCCAACATTGACAATAATAAAGCATTGACAACCATGCAACAAAACAGATTTAGTCAAACATTTCAGTCTTGACACTCCAACATTGACAATAATATAGCATTGACAACCATGCAACAAAACAAATTTAGTCAAACATTTCAGCCAATATTGACAACCATGCAACAAAACAAATTTAGTCAAACATTTCAGCCAACATTGACGGCCATGCAACAAAACAAATTTAGTCAAACATTTCAGCCAACATTGACAACCATGCAACAAAACAAATTTAGTCAAACATTTCAGCCAACATTGACAACCATGCAACAAAACAAATTTAGTCAAACATTTCAGCCAACATTGACGGCCATGCAACAAAACAAATTTAGTCAAACATTTCAGCCAACATTGACAACCATGCAACAAAACAAATTTAGTCAAACATTTCAGCCAACATTGACAATAATAAAGCATTGACAACCATGCAACAAAACAAACTTAGTCAAACATTTCAGCCAACATTGACAATAATAAAGCATTGACAACCATGCAATAGAACAGTTTCATTTAAACATTTCATTGCTCTCTGATTTTCACTAAGATCGGATGTTCTCCCTCTTCTGAAGTGCAGCATTTGTTTAACCATGCAGCGTTTGTTTGACCATGCAGCGTTTGTTTGACCATGCAGCCTTTGTTTGACCATGCAGCGTTTGTTTGACCATGCAGCGTTTGTTTGACCATGCAGCTTTTGTTTGACCATGCAGCGCTTGTTTGACCATGCAGCGTTTGTTTGACCATGCAGCTTTTGTTTGACCATGCAGCGCTTGTTTGACCATGCAGCGTTTGTTTGACCATGCAGCTTTTGTTTGACCATGCAGCGTTTGTTTGACCATGCAGCGCTTGTTTGACCATGCAGCGCTTGTTTGACCTCTCCAGCTGGTGATCTTTTTTTTTCTGTCCATCTGATGTTATAATTATTCCAGTTTTGAATTTATTCACTTAGTCCTAGTTTTTGCTTTCTGTTCTATAAATTACATTTTGTATATTTATTCTCTTTGCTATGATCGCTGTTTATGTTTTCTTTGATGTTAGTGTCACATGTGTGTGTGGTGTGTCTCAGAGTATCTTTCTGTTAGTGTCACATGTGCCTGTGTGTCTCAGAGTATCTTTCTGTTAGTGGCACATGTACCTGTGTGGTGTGTCTCAGAGTATCTTTCTGTTAGTGTCACATGTACCTGTGTGGTGTGTATCAGAGTATCTTTCTGTTAGTGTCACATGTACCTGTGTGTCTCAGAGTATCTTTCTGTTAGTGTCACATGTGCCTGTGTGTCTCAGAGTATCTTTCTATTAGTGGCACATGTACCTGTGTGGTGTGTCTCAGAGTATCTTTCTGTTAGTGGCACATGTACCTGTGTGTCTCAGAGTATCTTTCTGTTAATGAGACGTGTATATTTTACTTGTTCCCTTGTATCAACTCATACTGTCTGTCACTAATTTCCACTTGTATTTCCCCTGTTATTTCCAGACATTGATGGGAAAAGTGAACTTGACTGTGGGAAGACTCAAGGCTGGATCTAAAGCTTCCTCTCGAAAAAATTCCAATCCCGGAGCTTCCCTGAAAAAAAGTGATTCCTCTGCCAGCAACAAATCAAAAGGAAAACATTCTAAAAGTAAGTCAGTGGTCAGTTAGCAGTGCTGGTCAGTTAGCGGTGCTGGTCAGTTAGTGGTGTTGGTCAGATAGCGGTGTTGGTCAGATAGCAGTGCTGGTCAGTTAGCGGTGTTGGTCAGATAGTGGTTTTGGTCACATAGTGGTTTTGGTCACATAGCGGTGTTGGTCAGATAGCGGTGTTGGTCAGATAGTGGTGTTGGTCAGATAGTGGTGTTGGTCAGTTAGCGGTGTTGGTCAGATAGCGGTGTTGGTCAGTTAGTGGTGTTGGTCAGATAGCGGTGCTGGTCAGATAGCGGTGCTGGTCAGTTAGCGGTGTTGGTCAGTTAGCGGTGTTGGTCAGTTAGCGGTTCTGGTCAGATAGCGGTGCTGGTCAGATAGCGGTGTTGGTCAGATATTGGTGTTGGTCAGATAGCGGTGTTGGTCAGATAGCGGTGTTGGTCAGATAGCGGTGTTGGTCAGATAGCGGTGCTGGTCAGATAGCGGTGTTGGTCAGATAGCGGTGTTGGTCAGATAGCGGTGTTGGTCAGATAGCGGTGTTGGTCAGATAGCGGTGTTGGTCAGATAGCGGTGTTGGTCAGATAGCGGTGCTGGTCAGATAGCGGTGATGGTCAGATAGCGGTGCTGGTCAGATAGCGGTGCTGGTCAGATAGCGGTGCTGGTCAGATAGCGGTGTTGGTCAGATAGCGGTGTTGGTCAGATAGCGGTGTTGGTCAGATAGCGGTGTTGGTCAGATAGCGGTGTTGGTCAGATAGCGGTGTTGGTCAGATAGCGGTGTTGGTCAGTTAGCGGTGTTGGTCAGTTAGCGGTGTTGTTCAGATAGCGGTGTTGTTCAGATAGCGGTGTTGTTTAGATAGCGGTGTTGGCAATCACAGTGCCACTACCTCAGGTCTGTTCTTTTCATCCATGCCTTCATCCATGTATTGCCTTGACCCATCAGCCTGACATGCTAATGTACTATCTGGCATATGGTCTCCTCCGTCAGTTTTCCTCTGTATATGAATTGCTGTAACTTGAAATCATGGAGCCCCTGATCCCACAGTCCACCGTTGCTAATAGTGGGTGGGTCCTGGCTACCCATCTTGTACAAGTGTCTGGCGTGCCTCTTATGTGGGTAACACACATTCAGGCAGTCTCACAGTGTCTGCAGCAGGTCTGGGGTTTGGCTCCAGTAGAGATTCAACTTTATTTGAGAAAACATTGCATTTTCTCATGCTGAGATGTGTTATTGTGTAATGCTTGGGTTGCCCTTTTATAGTGCCAGGGTCTGTCACTTTATCCTGTGGGGGTCTGTAGTTTTGTCATGTAGGGGTCTGGCATGGTGGGGGGGGGGGGGGGATCTGTTATTTCGTCATGTGTGGTCTGTCATTTTATCATGGGGAGGTCTGTTATTTTGTCCTGTGGGGTGTCTGTCATTTTGTCATGGTGAGGTCTATCATTCTTATTTATGTTTTTCAGTAAAGGTAATTTTTTTTTTTTTTTTTTTTTTGAAGTGTCTTAATGGTCAGAAAAAGTCATTGTAACGTTGCATGGAATGAACTCGGCTGACCGGCTCATTGATACATTCTGTGCCTCATTTTCCTGAAAGAAACAAGGCTAGGCCCAGCCTCTGTTGACATAGGTATCACTTGTGTGAGGGTTGTCTGCTCTGTTTCACTGTGTACCCTAGACATCTATTGCTACCAGTTTCAGCAACCTAGGTCAACTCTTAAGTCACTCAGACTTTAATTTTGGTAAAATAATTCACTTCATGAGGTTGAACCATGGACCAGACCAGGTAGTCAGCCAGCGGGGATCCTAGCCACAGTCTAACTGCTATTTTAGCAACTATTCTAGTCACTGTGTAAACTGCTATATTAGCAACTATTCTAGTCACTGTGTAAACTGCTATATTAGCAACTATTCTAGTCACTGTGTAAACTGCTATATTAGCAACTATTCTAGTCACTGTGTAAACTGCTATTTTAGCAACTATTCTAGTCACAATGTTAACTACTATTTTCGCAACTGTTCTAGTCACTGTGTTTACTGCTATTTTAATAACTATTCTAGCCACAATGTTAACTATTCTCGCAACTTTTGTAGCCTTACTAGCCACAATGTTAACTGCTATTTAAGCATCCATTCTGGCCACAATATTAACCTCTTTTTTTAGCCAATATTCTAGCCAGAACACTAGCAAATACTCAGTCTGTTGCATTAGCCAACTCATTGGTGTCTACAGTAGCCACAAGATTAGCCATTGTTGTAGCCTCTATGCCACCACATATTCCACAGAGTTTCTCTCTGCTTCCTGTGCAGGATTGTGTCACCCCCACCCATCTCAGTCTCATGTTAGTACCCCCACCCCCTTCGTTCTTTCAAACACATGTCGCAGATTTTGTTAATGCTTTCTGGAAAATAATTTGAAACTGATATGCCTGGTTGTATTTTGCTTTGGCTATTAGAACACTGTATGGCTTTGGTTGGTTTTTGCACATAAAAATGGCAGTTTCTATCTCCTAATTTACAATTAAATGCAGAACTAGAAGTGGGAAAATAATCACATAACTATCATTAGAAAATATTGAAATATGACCCTCCTGGTCAGACTCCTGCTTGCAGAAATACCTGTGATTAGAGGTTAGGAAAAGAATGTTATAGGGGACAAGTTTCTACATATGGCTGTGAATCCTGGCCAGTTTATCAAGAAGCACATATCTTGAGATGTAGCAATAATATAAAAAATTATGTGGACAGCCAAACCACAATACAGCCTGCAGTATACAGTACACAGTACAGCCTGCAGTATACAGTACACAATACAGCCTGCAGTATATAGTACACAATACAGCCTGCAGTATACAGTACACAATACAGCCTGCAGTATATAGTACACAGTACAGCCTGCAGTATATAGTACACAGTACAGCCTGCAGTATATAGTACACAGTACAGCCTGCAGTATATAGTACACAGTACAGCCTGCAGTATATAGTACACAGTACAGCCTGCAGTATATAGTACACAATACAGCCTGCAGTATATAGTACACAATACAGCCTGCAGTATACAGTACACAGTACAGCCTGCAGTATATAGTACACAGTACAGCCTGCAGTATACAGTACACAATACAGCCTGCAGTATATAGTACACAATACAGCCTGCAGTATACAGTACACAATACAGCCTGCAGTATACAGTACACACACCTTGTTTCACAGACCCCTACTCTGCCCTCCCCCCCCCCCTCTTTCCCAACCACAGTAAAGTTTACACACATCTGGTATCACACCCCCCCCCCCACCCCCTTTCCCAACCACAGTAAAGTTTACACACATCTGGTATCACACCCCCCCCCCCTTTCCCAACCACAGTAAAGTTTACACACATCTGGTATCACACCCCCCCCCCCCCCCCTTTCCCAACCACAGTAAAGTTTACACACATCTGGTATCACACCCCCCCCTCCCCAACCAGTGTAAAGCTTACACACATCTGGTATCACACCCCCTCCCCTTTCCTCAACTAGTGTAAAGTTCACACACATCTGGTACCACCCCCCCCCCCCCCCCCCCCCCCCCCCGCCTCCCCAACCAGTGTACATTATGCACATTTTTGTTAATTCCACCTCCCCCCCCCCCCCTAATGTTACCCTGTGTATTGACATCACACTGCCCCCCTACCCCTGTCAGCTTCCTGTTTTCCACATATTTCCACTTCCTCTCGTTTGTTTTACCCCATTTTATTTAAATGCTTTGTATTTCACATCTGCTTATCAACCTTGTGTGTGTGTGTGTGTGTGTGTAGTGGGTGGCTCCTCTGTCTCTAACCTACAGTCTCAGAACCATCTTAATTTCTTCAGGCTTTTTCTAAATGAATGTTGAAGTTTTCTTCTTCTTCTTACTCATGTTTGTTGCCCTGCTGTAAACTCTGGCAGAAAGATCTGATAATTTGTTTATTTCCTAACTTTAGTCTAGTTCCAGAACTTTAGTGTTGCTTCCACATTCTGGCTTGTTAGGTTGAAGAACATTTGGTGCAACAAATCTTTGTCCATTAAAAAGCAACATTTCATAGGATAGAGAATATTCAGTTCATTTTGCGTTTTCTGGCCCAGAAAGGAAGTGACTTCCTTGCCATTTATGCCTCGTCGGGTCGCAGGACCTCTCCTATTTTCAGCGCGGAGGGGGAGAGTCAAATTTTCTTTATTGTTAACGCTTTTTCTTGTGTCCTCACTGCTTTCTTGCGTGATTATTTTCACATTCTACTACCTGTGCAAGGGATCGGGAGAAGCAGGGAGAGAACAGTGGAGTCTGTCCTGACTACAGGAGGAGAAGCAGGGAGAGAACAGTGGAGTCTGTCCTGACTACAGGAGGAGAAGCAGGGAGAGAACAGTGGAGTCTGTCCTGACTACAGGAGGAGAAGCAGGGGGGAACAGTGGAGTCTGTCCTGACTACAGGAGGAGAAGCAGGGAGAGAACAGTGGAGTCTGTCCTGACTACAGGAGGAGAAGCAGGCAGAGAACAGTGGAGTCTATCCTGACTACAGGAAGAGAAGCAGGGAGAGAACAGTGGAGTCTGTCCTGACTACAGGAAGAGAAGCAGGGAGAGAACAGTGGAGTCTGTCCTGACTACAGGAGGAGAAGCAGGCAGAGAACAGTGGAGTCTGTCCTGACTACAGGAGGAGAAGCAGGCAAAGAACAGTGGAGTCTGTCCTGACTACAGGAGGAGAAGCAGGCAGAGAACAGTGGAGTCTGTCCTGACTACAGTAGGAGAAGCAGGGAGAGAAAAGTGGAGTCTGTCCTGACTACAGGAGGAGAAGCAGGGAGAGAAAAGTGGAGTCTGTCCTGACTACAGGAGGAGAAGCAGGCAGAGAACAGTGGAGTCTGTCCTGACTACAGGAGGAGAAGCAGGGAGAGAACAGTGGAGTCTGTCCTGACTACAGGAGGAGAAGCAGGGGGTGGGGGGACAGTGGAGTCCGTCCTGACTACAGGAGGAGAAGCAGGGAGAGAAAAGTGGAGTCTGTCCTGATTACAGGAAGAGAAGCAGGCAGGGACCAACAGCAAGAATTGTTAACAGTAATGGCATCATGTGATTTCTGTATGAACAATTATTGGCAGTACATATGACACTATAAACACACTGGATGACTAAGAGTGCACACGGGATGACTAAGAGTGCACATGGGATGTCTAAGAGTGCACACAGGATGACTAAGAGTGCACACAGGATGACTAATAGTGCACACCGGATGACTAAGAGTGCACACAGGGTGACTAAGAGTGCACCCAATGGACTTCATGAAGCTTTGTCAGGTCTGTTGCCCTACATTGTGTAGAGTTATGTGGGGCTTGGATTGTCTTCCATTGTCAGACTTCAGAAGATGAGTGTTATAACTCAGGTGTTAACAGCATGAATAAATAATTACTACTTGTAGCTGATTGGCTTAGAGTATGAGCTTATTTTGCTCATTCAGACTTGAACAGATATTGCCGTTCAGCTGGTTCATAAAATTACTGTTGAAGTAGATATGTTTGTTTTCAACTTAACAAATCTGATTTGTTAGTTAACAGATCATCCTTATTGAATTTCAAATGATTCAGTTCATATAGGCTTTGACGACCCCCCCCCCTCTTTTTTTCCCCCATTCTCCATAAGTGTATCCCGCATCATGAAGCAGCCACTGACACCAGTTCTATGTTTTTACTTCTTTGGCTTCCTGCATAGTTCACCTCTCCCACATCTTTTTATTTGTATTTTTTAATTGTTCCTTGTTTTTTGAACCCTTGGCTTGCTGTGTTTGCTTATCTGCTGCCAGTTGTCATTTGAACAACTTAGTATATCTTGACACTTTCACAATTGTTTGGCAACTTGGTATATCATGACACTTTCACAGTTGTTGAGCAACTTGGTATATCATGACACTTTCACAGTTGTTGAGCAACTTTTTATATCATGACACTTTCACAGTTGTTGAGCAACTTTTTATATCACGACACTTTCACAGTTGTTGAGTAACTTTCAATATCATGGCACTTTCACAGTTGTTGAGCAACTTTTTATATCATGACACTTTTACAGTTGTTGAGCAACTAGATATATCATGACACTTTCACAGTTGTTGAGCAACTTTGTATATGATGACACTTTCACAGTTGTTGGTCAACTTGGTATTTTATGACACTTTCAGAGTTGTTGGGCAACTTGGTATATCATGACACTTTCACAGTTGTTGAGCAACTTAGTATATCATGACACTTTCACAATTGTTGGGCAACTTGGTATATCATGACACTTTCACATTTGTTGAGCAACTATGTATATCATGACACTTTCACAGTTGTTGAGCAACTTTTTATATCATGACACTTTCACAGTTGCTGAGCAACTTGGTATATCATGACACTTTCACAGTTGTTGAGCAACTTGGTATATCATGACACTTTCACACTTGTTGAGCAACTGCGTATATCAATACACTTTCACAGTTGTTGAGCAAGTGATTGCATTATTTTCTAAGTTATCATTGAGTGTTCGTCTTTTTTTTCTAACAGCTCATTAATCATAGTCTATAAAGCATTATGTTTTGTCCATTCATGTCAGCATATACATTAACTCTACATTATTCTACATGATATTCTTTGTTTCATTGTACAAGAGCTGTGAAACATTGTACAAGAGCTGTGAAACATTGTACAAAGGCTGTGAAACATTGTACAAGGGCTGTGAAACATTGTACAAGAGCTGTGAAACATTGTACAAGAGCTGTGAAACATTGTACAAGAGCTGTTAAACATTGTACAAGGGCTGTGAAACATTGTACAAGAGCTGTTAAACATTGTACAAGAGCTGTTAAACATTGTACAAGAGCTGTTAAACATTGTACAAGAGCTGTTAAACATTGTACAAGAGCTGTTAAACATTGTACAAGGGCTGTGAAACATTGTACAAGAGCTGTTAAACATTGTACAAGAGCTGTTAAACATTGTACAAGAGCTGTTAAACATTGTACAAGAGCTGTTAAACATTGTACAAGAGCTGTTAAACATGTTCCCAAACACTGCTACCGTCAACAGTTTTCTAATCATTAATTTACTTGTCATTTTCATATTTAGATTTAATACCTTGTATAATTAATATGTATAGTTGTAAATAATACATTTTGACTAAAATTAGAAGTCAGAAGCATCGAAAATGTAAATAATATTTCTACTTTTTTTTTTTAATATGTAAATAACGATTAACTGTTTACAGAGTGAAATCCAGTTTCTTAAGCCCACACTGAAGGAGTCATTAATACATAACAGTAACTGATTTTGTAAATAATTTCATAATCTTGTATTTATTTTAGTAATTTTTTAATGAATAACAGCCATTCTTTAAAAATGAAAAAAACATATTAGCCAAATCAGAAGTCTGAATTATATGGGTTTTTTTAAATCTATGAGTCATACTTTATAGCTACAGCCACAAGTTGAATAATTGTTTCACAGGTTACAAATTATTTTTTGTTAACTTCAGTAATATTAATCTGAACTGATTAATGGGCCTGCATCTTGAACAGTAAATATCCTGAGAATCAGATTTCTTATTTCAGAACAGTTTTTAAAATTGCTCCTGGCAGTTTATGGGAGTGGCACAAATTCTTGTCATTATATTGTTTCTAAAAAATGGGGGTGGGGGAAGGGGGGGGGGGGGGTGTTAATGTCAGTCAGTTTAATAAAATATGCTGTATGATAATTTATAAAAGTATGAGCATAGTTGCTCCAAATGTCTGAACAGTTGTTAACTTTGACCAGCAGTATGTTGTACCTTGTTTCTTCAAGTGAAGGAAATGATACTGATGATTTGAACAGTAGTTGATATTTGAAGCTGAAGCAAAAAGTGATGTGTTTCTGATCAAAGGAAAGTAGAAAATTGATTCAACATTGATATCATCAGAAGTTTCTAAAACCCCTGGCTAACAACTCTCATGCAGCATTATAATAATTATCTCTCGACCATAAAGTTCTCCTTACAGGCAAAAATTTAGTGCATAATGAATCAATGTTATCAGAATGTAAGAAAAGATAGGGTTGACAAATCATTTAGAACTGCAAGATTCTCAAAGATTGCCAGAGTGCTGAGACCTCACTGTTGACACCTCTCAGGTTAGTCAGCAAATGCCGATGTGTCTCTTTTGTGTCACTCATTTGCATTTCAGATCAGGCTTAGATTTTTTTTAATTTTCCTTAAGAATTCTTGTTTAATTTATTTTGTTTATGGTTTATTTCTGTCATGTAATTTCTGTTCTAACATTAGTGTAGTTCTTTGTTTAATAGTATCTTCTTTCTTCAGATGTTGTTTAGTCTGCATTCTTGGTTTTAATACTGCCCATTATGCATGTGGTAATTTCTATTGATGTGAATGGTATTTTTTGTTTTTTTCAGTCATATCTGCCAAGCTTCTATTAACTATATTGTTAGGTTGTTTTTTTTTTTTCTAGCTTATTTCTGAATTTGTAATGTTCAGATTGTTAATCGTTTCATTTATGCTTGCGCATGTAGGAGTTTTTGTGTGATCTTTTTCTGATGAAGTTTGAATTAAGTTGAAAATGCGTAGATGTAAGAGACCCACTCATAACACATCCCAAATAAATTCATAGTTGTGGAAGCACAACAGTAGAGTGACTCAGTGCAGCAAGCGAATGCAATGTTGTGGAAGCACAACTGTAGAGTGACTCAGTGCAGAAAGCGAATGTAATGTTGTGGAAGCACAACTGTAGAGTGACTCAGTGCAGCAAGCAAATGTAATGTTGTGGAAGCACAACTGTAGAGTGACTCAGTGCAGCAAGCAAATGTAATGTTGTGGAAGAACAACTGTAGAGTGACTCAGTGCAGCAAGCAAATGTAATGTTGTGGAAGCACAACTGTAGAGTGACTCAATGCAGCAAGCAAATGCAATGTTGTGGAAGCACAACTGTAGAGTGACTCAATGCAGCAAGCGAATGTAATTTTGTAGAGGCACAACTGGAGCATACACAAATCTCACAGTTTTGGCAAAAGAAATAACACTGGCAAGAAGCCAGTGGTTTCGCTAGTCTCTGTCAACAAACAAACCAGCTTGAGATTTTGACAAGGTGCTGTCTGTGACAATGCTGATCTCTACAGTACCATCTGACACACATGATTTACATACACAACAACTGTGCTTTGGTGGGGTGGGGGGGGGGGGGAGGATATTTCTGTAGCAAGCACTATTGTTGGGGCCTGAAGTTTGAGGCATTGGCTTATTCTAGGTCATGATTTAATGTATGTATGTGTGTGTGTGGCCTCAGTTCCTTTTCACTGTTCTTCCCAGACAACTCTGGTAGATTTATCAAAATATTTGTTCTGATTCACCATAATTATACATTTGTAGTATCCCGTCTCTTTCATGTGTGGCATGACAGTTTGTTTTTTCAGTGGCATGTCATTTATCTGTATTGCATGGTAGTGCATCTTTTCTGTATGTGGACTCGCCTTCAAGGAGTTTGTTCACTGCTTTAAACATACATGTAACAATATGATGTCTTATATGTGTAAATTGATCTTTACTGGACACTTAGTAAACGCAGATATTTAAAATGACAACAAAATCACATTTCTTTGTGTAGAAATCTTCACTGAATACTTTCTCATGTTAATATCCTTGTTGAAATAAGCAGTCTTGCTGTCAGAAACATGCAATCTTGCTCTCCCTCCTTCACGAAATAACTTTCAGACAATCATGCTTCAGTTTGAAAGTGAAGCCGCAGTCTTTGTAAATATCAGTGTTCTGATTCCTGTGTATCTTTTAACTGCCTCCAAGGTGCAAGAGTTCACATGAAGATAATGTTCTAGTAATATGTGTTCTGTTTGAAATGACTCTTGGCAGTCCAAGATAATGTACTAGGAATATGTATTCTGTTTGGTATGACTCTAGACAGCCCAAGATAATGTTCTAGTAATATGTGTTCTGTTTGGTATAACTAGACAGCCCAAGATAATGTACTAGGAATATGGGTTCTGTTTGGTATGACTCTAGACAGTCCAAGATAATGTACTAGGAATATGTATTCTGTTTGGTATGGCTCTAGACATTCCAAGATAATGTTCTAGGAATATGTGCCCTGTTTGGTATGACTCTAGACAGTCCAAGATAATGTTCTAGGAATATGTATTCTGTTTGGGATGACTCTAGACATTCCAAGATAATGTTCTAGGAATATGTGTTCTGTTTGGTATGACTCTAAGAAAGAAAGATGAGAGGAATGGGACTTACCTCCCCAGAAGACTTTTGATAAGACAAGCTGTACATTATCATTTTGTTAATGTCTCTCACAGAAAAATATATCTCCTGTTAAACTCATGAATGTACTTGTCATCTCAGACTAAGATTGTTACTGTGCAGTTGGCTGGACTAAGGTACCACTGTTGTATCTGCAGAAACCCAATAGAAATCTGTGATTAGCGCTAGCCTGGTCACTTCCCCTAACTCCATGTCACATATACACACATACCCGTAGCTCACACATTTGTTCCTGGGTCCGTGGTTTGTTTCCCTCTACACGGAGTTATCGTGTGTCACGTGTAGAACAATGTTTCCTGTCTGCATTGTCCAGCAGCAAACCGAATGATGTCAGTGAAGGAATCAGATCTGTTCATCATGACACTGACTACATCCCACACAGGCTGTGTCTCATTTCCTGTATTGAGCATCATCCGGACCTTCTGCTCATGTTCTGCTGGCTCAGTCTTGTCATATGTAAATTATCTATTCTGCTGCATTATCCGCTCTTCTTCTTCTTCTTCTTCTTCTTCTTCTTCTTCTTCTTCTTCTTCTTCTTCTTCTTCTTCTTCTTCTTCTTCTTCTTCTTCTTCTTCTTCTTAGTATTCACCAGCTGTAAACTCTGATGGAAAGTTCTGGTTGTTCGTCCATTTCTGGACTTTGGTCTTGTTCCATAACTTGAGTGTTGGATGCACATCCATTTTACAGATCTGGCTTATTTGTGTGCAAACTATTGGTTCCTGGCTTCTCAAGTAGATGCACTCTGACTTCCAAGGACACATCCCTAATTAGCACCTTCTATGATGTGCTTATCAGGGAGGCAGTGGATCTATTCCTTTTTTTTTTTCCTTAAAAGAGTTTGACCCCCAAAACAGAACAATCATCACTCAGTGCCAGTGAGAGGCTACACCATGTCTGCCTGCTCTTCAAGTAGCTTGCCACCCAGATGATATCTGCTTACTAATGGAATAGACACAGCCGGGTACAATTTAAGGCAAAGCTAAGAATGAAAAGAGGGGGGGCATGAGTCAACTTAGGATCACCTGTCATCAAAGACAGCAGGCTAATCATGGCACCATAAATGTCTGACTTTGACATCTCAAGACCTTAGTTGAGTCTTGTGTCCTCCATTAGTTAGAACAAAACAGTTGATGGCTGTGTCTTCTATTAGAGGAGTCTGCACTTACTCCTAGTTCTTATTTGTGTGAGATCTGAGACCTGAGTATTGCCATTTGTTTGCCTCTCTTGTAGGTGCCAGTGAAGATTTGAGCCATCTCAGAGTTGTTGACCTTGAGCAGGATGCTGCTGGATCTTTTGGGATCAGTCTCGCTGGGGGACTCAACAGTCCTATTGGTGATGCTCCAGTGATTATAGCCTCCTTAAACCCGGCCGGGCCTGCAGCTATATCTGGGAAGATTCGGGTTCGTATTACTTACTATATCTGATGCTTTAAAAGACAAAAAAAGTTCTTGATTATCAAGAAAAGAAAAGCAGTGTTTAAATGAAAGGAAATACCAGAATGAGATATTCATATTGTAAATGCTAGCTTAAAAAGATGCAAATATTTAAGGGCCATCATAACATGAGTTGGAAGTTGTATCACAGAGATTCAGAGCATGATCAGCCAAGCAAAATTTGTGTTTTGGATACAAGAGTTATTGTTCTTTGGTCATGTGATGAGAAGAAGGGCATCGTAGGATGTCAGGACCTATATAGTCTTTCACTTTTTTAATGTCTCCTTTCCATATTTTATTGTATCCATATGTGTTTCCAGACTTTTTCTGCATCCACTGGTCATTGATTCTATGTTTTTTTTTTTTTCTGTATCTATATGTGATTGTATACTTTGTATGACTCCAGGCATCAGTTCATATATTACTGCATCCATATGGGATTCCATCATTTTTCTGTATCCACATGTTAATTCATGTTGTGATGTTTCCATATGTGATTGCAGACCGGGGATAAGATATTGAGCATCAATGGAACCTCCACGGAAGGCATGACCCATGATCAAGTTATCAGTTCTCTTAGAGCGTCAAAGAAGGTCACACTGAGTTTGGTTCAAGGTCAGTATCAGTTGTACCCTCTGGGTCATTGTTGTTTTAATTTACCTGTTGAAATATCATGAAAAGCTTCTAGCAGGTCTGTTGCAAAACCTTGCTCCCAGTACGAGCCAGCAGAAAGACTGTGGCTGGCCAGTATCCTTGCCTCAAGATTGATTGGAACAGAAACCCAGAAATGCTGTGTGCTCAATCAGAGTCAAGGAGGAGGACATGCTATCAGAATACAAACATTTAACAATTTGATATATTCTTTATTGTTTCAAACAGAGAGTGTGTGAAAAAAAGAAGAGAGGGTCAGTAAGTGTGTGAAAGTCAGTGAGAATGTCGGGCCTTTTTGGTGTCAGACAGACTTAATGTTAATTAATGCATGCAGTGTTTTGTGATGCTGCTAAGATGATCATCATGTATCAGACAAAAGAAGCCACAGATCTAGCAGCCAAAGCTTGGTTGTACCAGTTTCACACAATTCAGGTGGCACTGTGGTAGGCCGGTTACTGTGTGGTTTGTGTGTCTGTCTGTCTGCGTACGAACCTATGGATCCATGTTTACAATCCTGTAGTTATCTGCAATTATTTATAACATCAAAATGTCTGTGCTATCTTTACAGGTGAGGCTGTATCCATAACAGGTCAAAGGTCAAGGCATGTGAGTGCTGACAGTCCGGAGGTCAATTTGAAAGATGTTAATATTGACCTTGAGGATGATGGGTAAATACATGGTTCTTCTTTTTCTTTTTTCTTTTTCTGTTCCATTTTGTCTTTTCTGACTTCTCTTTGTAAGCTGGCAGGCAAAAAGAGAGAAAGTTAATGCAACAGGACCAGTTTATAGATTGTACAGTGAAAGATAATGTTGTTTACAGATTGTACTGTGAAAGATAATGTTGTTTATAGATTCTACATTGAAAGTTAATGTTGTTTATAGATCGTACAGTGAAAGATAATGTTGTTTATAGATTGTACTGTGAAAGATAATGTTGTTTATAGATTGTAAAGTGAAAGATAATGTTGTTTATAGATTGTACAGTGAAAGATAATGTTGTTTATAGATTGTACTGTGAAAGGTAATGTTGTTTATAGATTGTACTGTGAAAGATAATGTTGTTTATAGATTGTACATTGAAAGATAATGTTGTTTATAGATTGTACAGTAAAAGATAATGATGTTTATAGATGGTACAGTAAAAGATAATGATGTTTATAGATTGTACAGTGAAAGATAATGATGTTTATAGATTGTACAGTAAAAGATAATGATGTTTATAGATTGTACAGTAAAAGATAATGATGTTTATAGATTGTACAGTAAAAGATAATGATGTTTATAGATGGTACAGTAAAAGATAATGATGTTTATAGATGGTACAGTAAAAGATAATGATGTTTATAGATTGTACAGTAAAAGATAATGATGTTTATAGATTGTACAGTAAAAGATTTTTTTCATCAGTTGGCAGTTATTATTTGGTCCTCATAATTGATGATAATGCTTGACAACATTGCTGTATAATGCTTGACAACATTGCTGTATAATGCTTGACAACATTGCTGTATCATGCTTGACAACATTGCTGTATCATGCTTGACAACATTGCTGTATCATGCTTGACAACATTGCTGTTAGGGCACGAGTCTCCCTGAATAAGTCGATGGTCTAGTACTGACTGTAGCTGCTGTGAGCTGGTTTGCTAACTGTCAGAACCAGTCTCTTCTGTGGCCATTGAGACCAGCTCCCTACTTTATTACCAACTTCTATATTTTCTTATGGGCTGTTGGCATTTATTTGACTTATATGAGCTGTTTTCTAGTTGGCTATTGGTGACATATATCATATACATGACTTTTTCTGATTGGTAATTACTGGAAATCTGATTTGGTCATTACTGTACATCTGATTGGTTAATTACTTGACATACATGAGCTGTTTTCTCGTTAATCATTTTGAGACATTAGTTGAGAATTGACACCACAGGACTAAGGACATTTGTGTAAGTGCTGGGTCCCCATCTTCAGCAGCCAGTGCAGAGTTCCAGTTCCAGCGTTGCCAGTAGCAACTGGTTTGTGTTGGTAAGATTCCCTGGTCACTTCCTGCTGCAGCATGCTCTACAAACTTGACATCTGATTGGCTATTATTGACACACATGAGCTGTTCTCTAGTCGCTGTCAGCAGATATTTGTTTGCAACTGTGCTCATGTTAAAGTTGGTTATTATTTTAAAAAGTCTTCTGTAGTATAGACTTGAATCTGTCTGCAGGCAAACAACTGTGATCTCTTGTCACCGTGTTTTTCTGCGATATAAAAGTTTTTTTTTTTCAGCCAGCTACTTTTGAAATGTATAAGTGTTGTGCACTGATAGACACTAGACAGAAGTAGAAATAGCAAGACTCTAGACCTAATTAAAGTGTTTCCCAACCATTAGTGTCTGTAAAATAACTTGTCTTGCATTTGTTTAACCACTTCCAAACAGGCAACCACCACAGTTCAAGACTATCACTCTAAACAGGGGTCTAGAAGGTCTAGGCTTCTCTATCGTGGGAGGACATGGAAGTCCACATGGAGACTTGCCCATCTACGTGAAAACTGTCTTTAATAAAGGAGCAGCTGCTGATGAGGGGACTCTGGCCAGAGGCGACCAGATTGTGACAGTCAACGGACAATCCCTAGAGGGCTACACACATGAAGAGGCTGTCAATATTTTGAAAAACACTCTGGGCATTGTGACCCTTGGTATCCTGTCTTGATTTGGCACATGGACCAAGTTGGAAGGTTCATGTTGGTGAGACTGTTCTGGGTGGAATCACATTAGAATTTACTGATTTTTGTAATGTGTGTGTGTGTGTATGAGGTGTCACAATGGTTGTAGGCATCATGTCATTATAGTAAGATTTTTTTTTTTTTTTTAAGACAAATTTTTCTTTTTAAAATACATTATGTATTTTTTTTTAATACAGACTGTTTTTTTTCTTCTGAAATAAAAATTTTTTTTTTTTTTTTTTTTTTTTTTTTAAATAAAGTTATAGATTTTTGTGGTTGGTGTAAATTATAAATATAATGAACTACTTTTATGTTTGGTGGTTGTGGACTACAAATGTTTTTTTTGGATTTAAAAGCCGTCAGTTCTGTAGTTTAATATGTATTTATCTATATATAATTATGAGTAGTCATTTTGTTTGTTTTGAAATAAGAGTTAGTGATAGCATTTAAGTAGTTGTTATTTGAAAAGTGATTGTATCTTTGTTTTCTGGCAGATTCATTTTTCTTTTATTACTTGAGCATTGACACATATAACGTTTATATTTATGCAGTATTCAGATGAATACTGTACATATTTGGATAGAATATAAACAGCAACCAATAATTTAATTTTCTCGAACTGTTACTTCCTTCAGATAATTTGGTGCTAAATTGTATGACTGAAATCTAGATTTGTCTTCATTTCTATAACCTGTTATTTGAATACCAAGGCACAGCAAGTGTTTTCTGTTCAGTGCACTTTTCTACTTAAATATCTGAACTATGCCAGGCTTTTGTCAAAACTGGCAGGAGAAGCCAACTTTATTTTTATTGTTTCTTTATTGCATGAAGACACTTATATAATGGTGAAGGTTTTATCCATAATTAAACTGTTCCTTTTTCTTGATTATGTAACAAGTATATTTTGTCTATGATAATTTGTGTTTTCCATGTTTATTTTTTTAAGCAGTGGTAGCTTCAAAAGTGAGAAAGAGCAAAGAGTTAAAAATCAAGCAAGTATCAAGATAGTGATCTGAAGCTTGTGGAGAATAGTAATGAGTAAGGGTCAGGTTAAATTATTGACTTTCTTCCAGTGACTCGGTCCAGTAATGTGTGATTGGACGTGGATGTTCTGATATTATTTATTGACATTCCAAAGATCAGAGTATTCTATTTAATGTTATTTTATTTTCATTTATATTTCAACTGTGGTGAGAAAGAGAGTTGTTGGGGGCTGCACAGTCAGTCCTGAATCGTGGAGCAGGAGTGAGGTATTGTGTGGAATCTGCACACATGTGCTTTTGTGGAAGCGGAATGAGAAAGCACATTGACAGATACAAAACTAAATGAAGACGTCTTGACAGAAATTAACTCAGAAGAGAACTAATTACCAGCATCAGAAAGGCAATCAGTCACAACAGGACAGTTGAAGGGGAAGAAAGGCAGAAGAAGCCAAAGAAATCTTAAATTAGTTTATCATAATGAAGCCAGGGAATATCTGTATCAGAACTTATCAGCAGTAGTGCCTGTTTACAACAGAGCTGAGATATGTGTGCCCTTTGGTCAACACATCCAGCTTTTTTGGATTGCCTTTCTCAGATGGTTACTGAAGAAGGGGGATAGAGCATATGTGAAAGTGTCCCAAGTGTAGTTATGTCAATTCTTTATTCATTCATTCATTCCCTGATGGTTGGATTGGGCAGACACTCATTCTTGCAACATCCTGGCATCACTCTCTCTGCAGATATTGCCCTTATCCATTTCAATCAGTCAATGCTGATGAGTAGGAGTGAACAAGGGCATTCCACCATCCAGGAAGGCTTAGATAATGCAGTTTCTACATGATACAGCTCTCTGTATAAATGACAGTTATTTCCCCTAACAACTTTTCCTTCTAGAACAATCTCTACTTCTGATTTTACAAGGCTGGTCAACTCGTTTAAGGATGTGTTTTTTTAACAGGACCTCAGCTCCCAGGTTAACCCTGCCTAAAATGTGAAGGTACCAGGAGAATATCGTGAAAGTAAAGCTGATCGTCATGATAGAGAGCACATAAACCAAGAGCCAGTTATGGTAACATCTACCCAGCATATCTGTCCAGGAAAGGGGCTTGTTATTTCTGTTTGTTTCTGCTGCCAGCGAAGCTTTTTATCAATATTTTCATTTCCAGATGGACATCTGCATTATTTAAATGTAACACCAGACTGTAGCAACATCTCTGCTTTAACCCTGGCTTTTGTTATAAGTAAACCCTACTATTGTTACCTGTTATACAATGTATCATTTCTGAACTCTACTTTTTGTGTGTGTTATACAGTGTATGATTTTGTTAACTCTATTTTTCTTATCTGTTGTACAGTTTATATCATTTCCTAACTTTATATCATTTGTTAACTTAACTTGTTTTGTTATCTGTTATACAGTTTATCATTTCAAAATCTTCCAAGGTTTTTGTCCAGCTCCGATATCAGAACTAACATTCATTGTTGTCTTACTCTGATCACTTTTACCTTAGTTTTTTATGGAACCTATTAGTATGAATAATATGGAAACGTAATAAGAATTATATGGAAACGTAATATGAATTATATGGAAACGTAATATGAATAATATGGAAACGTCCATAGGTTTATTTGTTGAACATCGTTTGGGCTGATTTATTGCACATGTTTACATATCAGCTTATGGACAGGAATACTAGTTCTCTGTCTCATGTAGTTCACATATTTTCTTATTATGTAGTTCACATATCATCTTATTATGTAGTTCACATATTTTCTTATTATTATGTAGTTCAAATACCATTCGGTGTGCAGCCATATTAGTTCATCATCTTATGTTGTTCATAAGTTTACTAGTTTCCTATCTATCACTTACATGGGAAAACTAATTCTCTATCATTTTCATGGGTTCCCATCTTGTCTTTAATACAGGAGTACTAGTTCTCTCTCATTTCATGTATCATCTTATATACTGGAATAGTAGCTGTGTCTCATTTAATGTAGTTCACTTATCATTATTTATATAGAAATACTAGTTCTCTCTCATTTCATATAATTCTGTGTTTGCTTCCTCAAAAGCACACCACTGAAATAATTATGCAACCTTGTGAACACTAAAAGTGTAAATCAATAACCAGACTAAACTCATATTCTATATTTGTACCGTTTGCTCTGTGAAATGACTGTAGTGTAAATATTGATATCTTTTATACATGCAGTAGTTGTTTTGTTTTTATATGTAGGTGTATTTTCCAAATTTGGCTTGAATTTGTTTAACACTTTTGTATAAAATGCTGTAAATTGTTCAAGAGTTGCATCTTTGATTACACATTTACTATCATTTGGTGAGAGATACCAGATTTTTCAAAAAATGATAACCAAATGTTTTCTGATCAAATATGTTTATGAAAAGTGTGTTTGGTATTTAACAACTGCTGAGCTGTGTGTTGCTATACAGTGGCCATGATTTTTAGGTGGCCACTTGAGATGGAAAAATAAACACAACATGTTTACAAATAAATGTAAACTTAATTTCATGGCTGATTCGCTGGTTGCTGTATTGCCATGATGACATATCTGTGTTGATACTCAAGGATTGCAGAGCAACCTTAATTTTGTCCTTGCTGTATTTGTCTGGCCATCTGGCAACCTTCTTGTGCTGTAAGATTACAGTTAAAATTTTCTCTTGGAAAGCCAGTAGTCTGGCACATCTACATATTCAAGTACCACATTTTCCCTGTCTTTTGATTTTCAGAGAGAGATTATGTTAAAGTGATTCACATTTTCAGAGAGAGATTATGTTAAAGTGATTCACATTTTCAGAGAGAGATTATGTTAAAGTGATTCACATTTTCAGAGAGAGATTATGTTAAAGTGATTCACATTTTCAGAGAGAGATTATGTTAAAGTGATTCACATTTTCAGAGAGAGATTATGTTAAAGTGATTCACATTTTCAGAGAGAGATTATGTTAAAGTGATTCACATTTTCAGAGAGAGATTATGTTAAAGTGATTCACATTTTCAGAGAGAGATTATGTTAAAGTGATTCACATTTTCAGAAATTTTCAGGGAGAGATTATGTTAAAGTGATTCACATTTTCAGAAATTTTCAGGGAGAGATTGTGAGAAAGTGATTCACATTTTCAGAAATATTTAGGGAGAGATTGTGAGAAAGTGATACAAATTTTCAGAAATGTACAGGGAGAGATTGTGAGGAAGTGATTCACATTTTCAGAAATATTTAGGGAGAGATTGTGAGAAAGTGATACAAATTTTCAGAAATGTACAGGGAGAGATTGTGAGAAAGTGATTCACATTTTCAGCAATTTCCATAGAGCTTCTATGAATCTGACCTAGCTTCTCTTCGTGGTGCTGGTACCTGCAGCTGTGTCTGTTCTAAGCGCTGGCTGTTTTTCATTAAATGGACACAATATGTGATCAGCAATGAACAAATGATAGTCAATCAAGAGGTGAGCGAAGGTGGTGATAGGCGGACCACACATGGAGACAACCAGACCACAACAGAACTAGAATGTCCTTGCATTGGAACCCACAAGACAACATAAATACAGGAAGATCAAATACATGAGGAAGGTGGAGGAGGACATTGGAGAAAACTGCACTCAGTGACATCACTTGGGTAGTTGATTGAGGACCTATGCTGCACTGGAGGCTGAAGGGTAGAAAAATGAAAAGATAATGCAGTGGGTAACTAGCAGTTGTCTGCAACAATACTTTAGTTTTTCAAGAGAAGATAACTTTTACTGAACATTTTGTTCTGCTAGCAATTTGTTTAATACATTCTGTATTACCTCTTACAATGGCAATCTATTTGTTTTTTAAATCACAGAAATAATTAACTGGTAAAATTGAACAACCAATTGAATGTCAAGAAATATAAAAATCCTGGCACTGAATTCTTAATTTTCTACTTGCACGAAAATGTTATTTTATCATTACCTGTTGTTACTTAAAAACAGTAGTCGTATAGTCTGAGATAACATA